ACACCAGCGCTGCATTTTAATTTTGAAACGTCCAGTGATCAGTTTATTCAACGAAGTAATAACTCAATGTATGGGAAACACTGGACATTGCTATAAGTCAAATTGCCAAGTGATAACAAAAATAAGAGTTCACACATATTACACAGCCTGCTGCTCATAACTGCTTAAGAGTGCACTGGCCACGAGCGATGACATGGTGGAGGCTATTGTCGGACCTACACACACATTTCACAAGGAAAGTTAACGTGCATGTTATAATCAGCCCAGATGTTTCATCTGAACTGCATGTGTTTCTACTTTAACATGCAAATGACTTGTTGCACTTATGAATATGATAACTTTCCGGCATTAAAACTAGTAAGGTAAAACATAATTATGCTTTTGAAATGGTCTGTTTTGCCCTGCCATCATTAGCTGAAGCTGTGTGTGAACAAGAAGCGGATGCAGAGTGTGAGCTGCTCCATCTCTCACGCAGCCAGAGAGAGATTCTCCGGCGTTCCGCAACCACGCTTAGCTGCCCGCAGATGCGCCTGCCTATAAATCGGCCTAATTTGCAGCACAATCGGCTGATGCCGATTAATTAAAAAATGCCAAAAATCGGCCGATCAATCGGTCGACCTCTAGTTTTTTCAGGACATGGGAGGTGTACCAGACCGGGTGACTGAGTGATTGTAGGCTGCTGTATGGCGTAATTTGTGGAGTGCGGCTGTGACAGTGTGTGCATTGGCTTGTGTAGAAATGGGAGGTTTTTGGATGACCTCTTTCAGATTTGGCACATGAGCTGATCTGGGAGTGATTGAACACTAAATTAGAGATGTTGTTGGCAAGAGTATGGAAAAATGTAATGGGTAGTGTTGGGTCGTTCTTGAACGATTCGTTCATTTTGAACGAATCTTTAATGTGACTCGAAAAGTCATCTCGGGGAGTGATTCGTTCAGTTGCGCAGAATCCTATAGGTTCTACACTGGAATTAGTCAAGTAGTTCACCTGTTTTGAGTCTTCTGGGTTTTTCGAGTCATTCGTTCATCATGTGACAGCCCCATACACTTTAACCAATGCAGTCTGAGCCGGAAAGAGAATTGATTAGTTCATCTCTCGAGTCTTTCGATTTGTTCGTTCTTTTGTCACGTGACGTGACAGCATTGGATAGAGAAATTAGTTAATTTACAAGCTTACAAACGGGTGCATAGTTTAAGTTTATGGGGCTGTCACGTGATGAACGAACGACTCAAACCCGACTTGTCAGATAAGATGTGAGGTGAGCTAATCATAGACTGAAGGTAAACAATGAATTAATCTTTTCTGTTTCTTATAGCAGTTTTGTATTGTTAGTCGTTCGTTTATCACGTGATAGCCCCATAAGCTTAACCTATGCAGTCTGAGCCGGAAAAGAGCCTTAATAATAATAACCAACTGTTTATTACCTTTGTTACAACATTCAGTGTTATGGAAAAGAACCATCAAATTCACACATTTATAAACTATAAGAAGTAAAAAGCTACCATTTGAGACCAGAAACGCATCACGTAACTATAAGAGTAAATAATAATTATAAAAATGATGATAATAATAATAATAATAACTATGCACCTGTTTTTTAAGGAAGCTTGTAAATTAACTAATTTCTCTATCCAATGCTGTCACGTCACGTGACAAAAGAACGAACGATTCGAAAGACTCGAGAGATGAACTAATCAATTCTCTTTCCGGCTCAGACTGCATTGGTTAAAGTGTATGGGGCTGTCACGTGATGAACGAATGACTCAAACCCGAAGACTTGTCAGATAAGAGCTGAGGTGAGCTAATCATAGACTGAAGAAAACAATGAATTCATCTTTTCTGTTTCTTATAGCAGTTTGTAGTGTGATCAACATTTGTGTAAGTAGTAGACATGTTAGGGAAGTAAAACGTAACCTTTTAATTATATTTAGTTAAAATGAATTAAATGAACGAAATGACTCGAAAAAAGATTTGTTCATTTTGCTGAACGAGACTCAAAAGTCAGAGTCAGTAAAATGATCCGAACTTCCCATCACTAGTAACGGGACTGGTTGTTCGCTAACATATAAGTCTTTTAATGAATAAAGATAGATGTCTAAACATTACTGTGAGTTTAAATAGAATGAACATCATTAAACAATTAAAAAAAATTATGACTAACTATAAAGACATTTATATAATTTATAAATATTTATAAAATATATATTTATAAATGCATATACTCCTTTAAAATATTTATATAATATATGCTGTACTACCATTCAACTTAAAAAAAAAAAAACTTTTATTCAGCAAGGATGCATCAAATTGACCAAAAGTGTCAATAAAGACATTTATAATGTTGCAAAAAATTTCTATGTCTAATTATTACAATCAGCATATTGTAATGATTTCTGAAGGATCACGTGACACTGAAGACTGGAGTAATGATGCAGAAAATTTGTCTTCGTCATTGTGGGAATTAATTGCATTTTAAAATGTTAAAATAATAAACCGTTATTTTAAATTGTAATAATATTACACAATATTGCTGTTTTCACTATATTTATAAATTCAGGGTGAGCGTAAGAGACTTTTCTAAAACATTTTAAAAAATCTAACATACTGCAAAATTTTGGTAATATACACAGTACTTTTTAATTAACATATGCAAACTTGCAAAACACTTATTGGCATTTTTTGTTTAGTGCACTTCATCAAATTTTGTGCAGACACTCTAGTTGTGCTTCTATGAAATGACTCCTAAAAACTGCTATAATATGGGTGTAGTTCTGAGACTAGTGTTACCGCATCAAGTTTTGTTGATATATCTGTCCATTCCTGGAGTTCCACAGAATCTCTCATGCCTGCCAACCCTTTGGCAAAGAAGTCAAATTGGAAATGCTTCATTAGCTTTTTAGTCATTATCAGCTGCATGTATTGCTTCCACTAAATTAATGATCTCCCATTTAACTTTGAAGTAAAATTTTCAGTTTCTGCTGCTGAATGCATGTTGCTTTATAGAGGGCACCTTGACCTGGTTTAAGTGGTGGTATAATTAATATTGTTGTCTTATGAAAGCATAAAGTGCCTGTATTGGTAAGAGATTACTATGTTTTAGATAGTAGTTTGGACATGTGGTCACAAGAGTTAGGTCAATCAGACTCCAATCAGATTCTCTCAACGTGACTGAGATTTCCGATGGTTGTAACACAATTTGGGCAAATCAGATGAATTGTGTCAATTGGTTGATTTAAAGCCCTGTGCAACAAGCTGGTTCAGTCATGATGATGCATTGGAAAAATGCACATGGAAAAGTGTAGCTGTAATACTATTTGAAATAGAGAAATCAGCATGGTGGAAGACATCAATCTTTTCTCATTGAGCACATTAATATGCACTAAAAGATTCTCATATGAACCAGAATTTGGAGAGTTTTTTTTTATCAGTGCATACTGTAAGTGCATTATCCTGTTTGCCATAACCTGATTACTTAAATTACTATGCAGAATTTCTAAAATATAGTGAAGTTACGCTGTGCATATCCAGAAGAGAATAGCAGGAAAAAGAAAACTCATGTTTAGTTTCATTTGGAAAATACTGATTACCTTACCATAGCATTTCAAACTGTTTACCATAACCTGATTACTGAAATCAGATTTTCTAATGCAGCAAAATAATTACTTGCAATTTCCAGAAGAGAATAGCAAAGAAAAGAGAGCACGTTTCTTAGCTTCTTTGAAAAATACTGATCATTGTACACAATTCCAGTAGCTGTGGAGAAAACCTATTTTTCAATATTTGTCATTGTTTTTATGAAATGGTACAACACTATGAAATACAACTTTGAAATTTATTTTAAATGAATCTTCTCTCTGTGAAGAAGGTTTTAACATACAATAAAAAATGATTGATAATATGGCGTCCTATGTTTTTACCTCCTGTCAGCCAATAAATCTCTTCACTAAGTATATTGTGACAGCTGTATGAATGAAGAGTACTTCAGTGGGCTCTGTGTACAGACAGTTCAGAAAATGTGTTTATGGGACTGCTGAAAGTATGCTTTTTGGAAGAGGATAGTGCATCAGTATGTCTTCAAGCTTGTGGTCATTTATGCACTATAAACAGCATAAATTAAGCAGATTAGTACATACAGAAAGCTTCATTATGGTCCATGGAGATGGTAGAAACCAACGTCATAGTCTCTGATTATCATCTTAGTTTGCAAACAGTTCATCTGAAACACATCATTTAAGAGCAGCAGAATCCATGTACAAGACAAAAAGCACCATACAAATACACTGAAATATTTAATTCAGAGGTATCAATATTAATGGAACATCCAGCGAGGAGAAACACTGAGGCTGTCCGTCCTGGAGTTCATTGGTTTCTCATTCTCTCTTTATTTATATTCTCAAAAGATTTGCAATATTTTGCTCTTTCTTGAGTGCGGAGGATTTTGTGATTCATTCCTTACGGGTTGGAGATTTTTCTGAAATCTAGACAAGCAGTCGCTTGAGCTCAGGAAATAAATTTTTTGTTGTTTTATGAACTCTAATACCCAAGGCTTAATAAAGCAGAAAATGTGATATGTTCAAAATATTGTTTTAGAGATTTAGGCTAATTGCAAGCACATGTAAAAACAACACTGAAGTGAAAATATAAACATTCATTTAGATATTACAGTTTGTTTGTTTTGGGGCTGCCAGAATATCTATTAACAGAATCATATTTTTGAACGAAACACAATAATAGTGGATGTTTACACCGTAAATACTGAAGACTGTAGACCTGTTGAGATCTACAGTGACCTCAAAAAGTATTGTCATTCTTAAAAATATCATTAAATCATATGCTTAGATTTTTTTTTACAGAAACACCACACAAACAGACTTTTCAAATTGAATATTTAACTAAAATGAGTTTATTGGGTTTGAAATGATAAAACAATAGATCATCTTCTGTGGCGTTGTGGTTCAGCATCACTGAATGAAGGTTGTTTCATGTGATTGTGATTTCAGATTTGATGCCAGATTCTGAAACAAATCAGTGACCGATCCGTCAGACAAACGCAATGACAGCTGCAAACGCTCCGCAAGACAGGTAAATGTGTGTGCGTGACTTTCTCACATGAAACAAATACTCAATAATGAAACTGCATGTGAATAACATGACATGTCTTCCAGGTATAATGCTGTATGGATCATATTCTTCATTCTGGGCCTGGGAACTCTGCTACCATGGAATTTCTTCATGACTGCTACCATGGTAACAATCGTCTAGTTGAAACCACTGAAACTTTAATGGGACATTGTTAGATGAATCCATGATTTTGTGAGCTATATTGGATTTGGAGTTCTTCATTGTCCCCAAAGGGACATTTGTTTTGGTTTTGGATTTTGGCAATATAAAATGATCCAACAATGAATATTGCTTTTAATGCATCTTTTATTTGGAGATTAAGTTTCCTACTGTAGGTTTAAAAAACTTTCAAATGTTTTTGTGAAAAGCATTTATGTAGGTAAATATTGCTGTATATCAATTATTGCTGTATATCAATGTGTTAAGCACCCGCACCACCTTACTCCAGTTAAACACCACATTTTTAACTGCAATAATACAAATATTCACTTTATACAGGGCTTGCCATTCATTTTTTTGCTCACCAGTCACTTTGGCTAGTGGTTTTCCAAAATTACTAGCCACTCAGCATTTCCACTGGCCACAATTTTGTTGTTGGGAAATTACGGTTTATATGACTAAAGTTACTGCATACTAAAATGTATTTAAATTGATTTCCAGGTCATGCCTATTTAAAGGGCATTTCCCCCTAACCTTATTAAACGCATGTGTCATCTTTCATATCAAATTCTTACATTTTATCAGTAATTTCACCTAATATAATAAGGCACTATAGGGCAGTTACCAATCAAATTACATCAGTATTAAAGGGGTCATATGATGCTATTTTAAAGATCATTATTTTGTGTATTTGGTGTAACAGAATATGTTGACATGCTTTAATGTTCAAAAAACACATCATTTTTCAAATACTGTACATTATTGTAGGTCCTCTATGCCCCGCCTCTCTCAAACGCTTCGTTTTCTACAAAGTCCCTCCTTCCGACAAGCAGTCTGCTCTGATTGGCCAGCTGACCCAGTGCATTGTGATTGGCCGAACACCACAAGCATGCTTCGGAAATGTAACGCCCCTTACCATAATCGCGAGCATCAGCTTTGGTGTGGCTGACTCAACTTTAATAAAGAATTGTTAAACTTTAGTCTTTGTAAATTTACAGATCTTCTTTATGCACCAAGAGCTTGTAACACTCCAAAGAGAAAGGAAAAATTGAAATAGCATCATATGACCCCTTTAACAAAACCGATCTTTCCACTGCAGAAGAAACAGAAGCAGCTGAAGTGGCATTTAGATGCATTTACACAGACAGTTTAATGAAGTTGAAATGTAGCATGAATGCATTTACACTGCAAAATTACAACAGCATAAATAATGTTATGATAATATGTTAAAAAAAAAATACAAATATTAAACGTCTTCTCATTGTTCTGCAGTACTTCACACAACGTCTGAAGGACCCACAGACCAATGGAGAACACAATCAGACAGCCAATGGGACGGTGGTGATAGAGGGTGACAATCGTAACGTCCTAGAGTCAAAGTTCAACAATGTGATGACGCTGTGCGCCATGGTACCGCTGCTCATTTTCACCTGCCTCAACTCCTTCATCCACCAGAGGTGAGACGAGCTCTGTGTTTCATGTGAGAGGGATTTAGAAACATACATAGATTAGAGCTGACACCAAGTTAACACATTCATTTAAACGATTAAATATGGCTTGTGACTAAGCTTACCCAACTGGACATTGAAGCTCATTGAAATTCTGTTCTGTCTGATATTAAGACTCTTTGGAAATGGGATGGATAAAATAAAACCTGGTTACTAAAGCTAAATCTTAGTCACAGTTATCAGTCAATGACAAAGAAAGACCAGAAGCAATTATTTTCATTTTTATGTTTTATAAAAAATGTAAGTGTAAAAATTATATGATTAAAATAATTTATTTATATATTATAAATGTATTTAAACTAATTATTTACATATTTTGTTCAATTTAATTGTATATAATTATATATATTTGTATTTTTTATGTGTATATATATTTGTAAACTGTCAATCATAAGTGTGCTTAGTTAATAAATATATACAGTATATATATATATATATATACACGCACACACAAATATATGACAGTTGGATATATTTAATTATTGTATTGTATATAATTATACATATATTGTATATAATTATGCATGTATATTTTTATATATATTTATTAGAAAAATATTAAATATTTATACACGCATGAAATGTGAATAAATTAAATTTTAAATTAAATATAAAATTAATTTAATGTAGTTTATATCACAGCAAATTCAAAATTGTGTTTATGGCAAACAGACATGAGATTAATTGCAATTAAATCTGTTTGCAACCCACATAAATACTGCCTCTAAACAATACTGCCTCATATATAAAACTGTTTATGATGATCTTAAAAACCCTTTCATCTAAAGGCTTCACCATAAATGTTGAAAATAAAGTTTTGTAGGAAACTACAATCAACTGTCTAATGTCTTTATAAAACTAAAGTTTAATTGATGAGTTGGACCAAATAGTGAAGGAAGCACATCCCTCATGACTCACTCCCATGTTCCATTGTGTTATTTCACAGTTTTGTTGACTTTACCGTTATTCTAAAATGCGGAAAATAAGTTGTAATAAACAATGCAGAGATATTGTGTAATTTAGCATGAATCTCCCTATTAGCCAGTGAGCTGATCTTGTGTTGTTTTTTTCCCAGGATTCCTCAGAAGTTGAGGATCTCAGGCAGTCTATCTGTCATCTTCGTGGTGTTTCTCATCACAGCCGTGCTGGTGAAGGTGGAGATGGAGCCCCTGCCGTTCTTTGCGTTCACTATGATCAAAATCATCTGCATCAACTGTGAGTATCACTAGCATCATCATCATCATCTGCAGTGTGTCTTATTCCAGGCCTCTTTGACCTCAGTGTCGTGGTATCTGTAGTCTTCCTCTCCTCTGGGTCGGGTCACAACAAGGTTTGGTTTCTGTTTGGGGTTCATAATGAGTAAAAGATGGCTTGGGTTCACACATATCCTTTGATGCTGATATTAATGCACAGTATGCTTTGACAATCAAGCTGGGGAAGGTCCTACTTGAAAGAGGAGATCGTACAGGACTGAACTCTCAGAAATATTTCATGATGTTCTGTGTTATCACAACCTCCACACATTTTTATGTGGATTTATGTCTAATCTTAACCATCGTTTTTCTTCTTCGCTGTCTCTTTCTGCAGCGTTCGGGGCAATTCTGCAAGGGAGTCTGTTTGGTTTGGCTGGAATGCTCCCAGCATCCTACACCACGCCCATCATGAGCGGACAAGGCCTGGCAGGGACGTTTGCGGCCTTCTCCATGATCTGTGCTCTCGCCTGTATGTGTTCATCCTTTGTCACTCTCTTTATTTTCTTCTTTTCCAAGTCGTAGGAACCAGAATTTGGAAAATTCTGAACCAGCTTTGTTATTTTTAACTAAAACTATTAAAACAAGTTTGTTTATTGAAATAAAGCTAAAATCAAATCAAATTTAAATATTGGATGAAAAACGCGAACAACATTTTTTTAAATGAAAATTCGAAAATGGAAAATAAAGCTAAGTTAGAAGTATTAAAAAAGCTAAAAATAATACAAATGCACAACAAATTTTACAAAAAATTGAAAATATTAATAAATACTATAATAGAATATAAATAATACAAACATAACACTCTACAAAACAGATTCAAATAGATGTTTAAAGTTGAATTAAAATGAAATATTAATAGATAAACTTAAACTGAAAAAAAAAATAACTTTAACAAAAATTAGAAATCTTCCCTTGGCAACTAACTGAAATAAAAGAAGTTGAAGTTGAAGGACTAAAACTAAAATTGAAATAAAAATAAAGCTTAAAAGGACGAACACGCTTAACAAATGTACTAAAACTAATATAAAAATAAAAAACTGACATTTTTAAATCTTAATAAATACTATAATAGGATATAAATAATACTAAAATAACACTGGTCAAAAGGATTCAAAGTAGAATCAAATAGATGTTTAAAGCTGAAATAAAAATGGAATAAAATTGAAAGTCGAAGACCTTCAACTGAAATTGAAATAAAATAAAAGCAGAATAGCAAAATTTGAAAAAGCAAAATATGAAAAAACTAAAACTAATAAAAATGACTAAAACTAAAATGAAAATAAATTCTGTTATAGTATGCAAATACTAAAATTGCGTTTGACAAATTCAAAGTAGGTTGAAACAGATGTTAAATGTCAGACCTAAAATGCTACACTAGTTAATGTAAGTGATAATTGTGTGTTTATTTATGTGCTAATAAAACAGTTCTACAGGGATGTCCATGAGTACTTTTGAATTGCTGAGTCTATTCCAGGTGTTTCCAGGTATTGACCTGACTCTTGTCTTTTCCAGCGGGCTCAGCGTTACAGGACAGTGCCTTCGGCTACTTCATCACTGCCTGTGTGGTTATTCTCCTGGCCATTGTTTCTTACCTCGCTCTGCCTAAAATGGTATGATGTAAAGCCCTGATTCTGAGACTCACATCTGCGTTTCATTTCCACTAATCAATGCTGAGAATTATGTTTCATTGTTTACATGTTAAAAACTAAAAGTATTTGTTCTGCAGGAGTTTTTCCAGTATTACTCTGAGAGCAGTGGCTCCCGATCCAGCGCTGATGAGGAAAACAAGATGGATTTGCTGAAACCAGGTAATGGCCAGCGTTTCATATTTATCAGAAATGTTTCTCTAAAAATCTAATGCTGACCGAACACTCACAAACAAATATATGAGACCACTGGAATACAAACCACTGTTCCCAGTGCATCCAACCTTGTGTACAAGTAAGGTTTCACACTGCTTTTCATTTGATTTCATATCACACAAGTTGACAGAGAAAACAGGCAGAAGTTCTAATATGGCGAATATTCAGACAACATACAGACATATCTAATCAAGATTTTAAGGTAATTTATTTGTGCCGCAGAAGATCTTATCTTTATCCCATAAATATTTTGACTTCGGAACACTACTGCATCTAAAATATATAGTTTGTATAATTATATATATAAATATATAGTTTATATAATTTCTATTTTTATAATTTTTTTATTGTTATTTGTATTGTTTTTTAAATAATTTTTTTATGCCCCTAAATATTTAGACTTTGGGACACACACATTTCTGTCTAAAATGCATTTAAACTGAGTTTAACACTCAGTTTATTGCCCCAATTTATTTCATTTTTATTTTTATAGTATTTTTATCTTATTTTACATTAATATTGACTGTACATTAAATATTTATGGCTCGTTTCCACCGGGCGGTACGATTCAGTACAGTATGGTACGCAATTATTTTCCGTTTCCATTGTCAGAAGTAGTGAATGGTACCAAAATAGCAAACCATACCGTACCACTTTTTTGGGACCCTACCGATGGGGCATCTAGCACAGTAGTCCAGTACCTAAAGGGTGGAGCTAGACTCACTGAAGAACGTTGATTTTTTTTTTTACAGATAATCGTCACTTGCGTGTGCTACAAGGGGAGTGGAATGAAAGTGGAATGAAATATAACAGGGTATTTTAGAATTAGAATAAGTAAGAATATTTTATTTTAAACGGTGTATTTTAGAATTTTCACACACTTACGCACAGACAATGTTGCGCTTTCTTCTTCGAGCGACAATTGACGTTGATCGCTACTTTCCGGCATACACCACGTATGTCAAGTAAGAGTACTGTTGGTGGTAGAAACACAAGCCGGATCACGGTGTACCGTCCCGAAACGTACTGTGCTGTACTGTACTTTACTGTACCACTCGGTGGAAATTAGGCTTATTTAGACGTTAGATTTATATCTAGTCACTAGTGCCTTTTCTGAGTTCTGTCTTAAAAGCTTTAACTCTAAGTTTCTCTCATTTTTGTGTTAAACTTGTATTAATTATTTGATTTTTAATTTTGACTGCTCCTAAATATTTTGACTTTGGGACACTATTCCCTAAAAAAAATCCCAGTCTCGGAGTGACTGAACAGTGTCTTAATGTCAGATATAGTAGATATCATGGATATTTTATTTTTTTATTTATAGTTGATATAGAGGATTTTATTTATCATAATACAAATATAGTACATATCAAGGCTTCAGTGTATTTGTTTATTAATTGTCATTAGATAAATATTGTTAAGGTTGTTAATGTCGTTGACGTCGATGCTAAATCAACTCTCAGACTGTGTGTTCATGTGTTTGGTGCTTAGGAAGGTCAATGTGAAGGTTTTTTGCGCGTGAAATGTTAGTTTTTGATAATCCTGTTTGTATGGTCTAAATTAAGAGTTGATCTGTTCTGAGCATGTGTTCCTCAGTTCCTCACACTACTTTAAAATGTAAGTCAACATAGAAAACTTTCAGCTTCTTGTCAAACTCACTTACAGAGAAAACTGATTAAGTTAAACCTCAGTGGAGCAGATCAGCTCTCTCAATGTTCCTGGCATTAATAACAGTTTTTCAAATTTGAAAAAGCAAAATGGTTATGCACATCTTTTGACAATTTTTGACAAAATTTGTCATTTTAAATTACAATTTTAAATACTTCTCTTTAGCAATAGTTTATTTTTATTTCAGTTAGAATTTCAGTAATTTTAGAACTTCAACTTGAACTAATACAGTATTTACATTAAAGGGGTGGTTCACTGTTTTTTTTCTAGGCTTGATTGTGTTTATGGGGTGCAGTCTAACATGCTTTGTTTAAAAAAAAAAAAAGCATTATTTTTCACATAATTTACCTTTATTCCACACCGCTCTGTCCCTTCTCTGATAAATGCGCTGATCATTTCCTTCTTTTATGAAGCCCCACCCTCAGAAATAGGCGATGGGCTCTGATTGGTTAGCTAGCCCAGTATGTTGTGATTGGCTAAACCGTCTCTAGTGCGTGTCTAAACGTCCCGCCCCTCTCCTCAGCGGCATGTGCTCCGGTTGTATTGTAAACAAAGGCGTCGTTAATATCGCTTATCAGTTTGAGCTCGATTGAGAAGCAGAGGATATTTTTGAAGAGTATCGTGCAGAACCTGTGCAAGCACGGCTTTTAATGGTAGGCCTATGTTTTTTGTTTGTTGTTGTCTCATACTTTTAGATACGCTGTTATTTGTAAATGCTGCTTATGTTAGCTTTGAATCTACGGTTTTATCCTGATTAAAGCTTTAATACAGTACGGCAACTGCCATGTATAACGCTTCTCATAGCTATGTGAAAATAAGTGTGTAAATGGAACAGTTCATTGTTGGAGCTGAGCTGAAAGAGAGAGAGAGAGAGAGATGCAGAGCAGGGGGACGCGAGGAACAGTATTAAGACCCGCTGCTTTAGAACATTGATTTTGAAACTTGTGAATCCATTAGAATCGTTAGAAGACAGAATCGCAATTCATATATGAATAGATTTTTACGTGCACCTCTAGTTTTCTCGTCCTCTTCTCTAAAGCAGCGCAGCATGGCCCCGCCCCCTTTGCTGCCTTTTCCCGAGGGCGGGGTTTATCTGGGTTTGTGATGTCACAAACCCGGGAAGTAACTCGTTGTAGTCCCTACCAGCCGTTTTTGTAGGCATTAAACTGCCAGAATTTTAAAAGATGATATCTCCGTTTGCATTGAACTTTCAGCTTCATAACTTTGCAGATATTGTTTATGTTCAAACAGCAACGTTACACACTAACTAACGTTAAAAAAGCTAAATCGCAATCAACCACCCCTTTAACTGAACAGTGTGTCTTGACAAATAAAATGTAATACATTTTCTTAGATTTGGTTTGTTCTGAAGATGATGATGATGAATGTCTGCAGATAGATTTATGTTCAGCTGAAGTCTGACATGTGCTCTCTGTTCTCTGTTCAGCCCGGTAAAGACAGCATCTGGCTGCCCGTCCTGGTCATCGCACGCTTGGTGTTCGTTCCTCTCTTCATGCTCTGTAACGTTCAGCCCAGACACTACCTGCCCGTGGTGTTCGCTCACGATGCCTGGTACATCATTTTCATGATCCTCTTCTCCTTCAGCAACGGATACCTGGCCAGTCTCTGTATGTGCTTCGGACCAAAGTACGTACAAAATATCATCAACATGCATGCGAAATAGACTTACTTATGTCAGGCTGCTAGAAAAATAAAATCGTCCCAGTGTGCTACATCAACATGAAGGATTTGTGCTGCTTGTTAAGCAAAGAAATGCTAGTAGTTCCTCAAGCAATTAGGGCTGGATTTGAGGGTTTTCACGATTCAATTTTGACTCACAAGTTTTCGATTCCAATTCAATTAGATTAGATATCGATTATTTTGGATATATATCAGGTACAATACATGACAAAATTTCTCAAGGAAAAAAATTCTCTCAACTAATGCTGTCAAATATACATGAGAGTCATTTGATACTACATTACTGTTATATTGATATATTATAATATAAACATTTAAATGGTGGCTGCCAAGCATAAATTAAATATTGAATAAGGGTAAAAATGATAATGAATTTATTTTGTTGAAATGAAAATTGTGCTGCCGCTTCTCTTCAACTGAGGCGCTACAGTGATCTGTTACTCCACATTAAACAGCGCCAAAACGGTATTTATTGTTTGAATATTGTAATAAAATAGACAGACTTTGAAATCTCAAACTTTGTTTCAAATCAAAACTAACAAATCACAAAACTTATGATGATTTAATAATGTTATTCAATCATAATCTACAATGTTACGTTCATTAACTGAAAACAGGATAGACTAATCGATTCTTGGGATTTAAGAATCAATATGGTTTCATAAAAATGAGAATTGATTAAAATCGAGAAATCTATATTTTTTACCCAGCCCTAGTAGCAATAATAGTTTCATCTTTTCTGTACACAGTATGATGGTGTTCATCTAACAGTTAGTCGAAGTTCTTCATGTCCTCTAATGTTTTGTGTTCGTCCCACAGGAAAGTGTCCCAACATGAAGCGGAAACCGCAGGGGCCATCATGGCTTTTTTCCTCTCTCTTGGCTTGGCTGTGGGAGCCGCGTTATCCTTCAGTTTCCGGGCCATGATCTAGAAGCATGGCCTAGTTCTCAGTATGATGAAGATGAACTTTAACCCTAGATATACACAGAGCCAGAGAGAATGTATTCATACTGCACATGTATCCCTTTGCCTGTTTGCCCCTCTTGTGTGTTTTCTTAAAGAAGTGGAACTGGAATAGACAGTATTCACGCAGGGATTCTAAGAGGGAACATCTTCATCAACATTATGATGTTATGAGCATCATCATCATGCAAAACACGAGCCAAACCGGTCATCATATTTTTTGTATACTTGTTGTGAATTGTGCCAATTCAGTATTTAGCAATAATGTATAGTTCAGGTTAAGCCCTTTCTGTTTTAATGTTTGTGTAAGTATTAACGGTTTTAATTGTCCTGTTTTAGATTTGTTTAGTGACGGCAGAGACATGCAGCTATTAGGGCAGTAGTTCACTGCAAAAATGTTTTTCTTACTTAGTATTTTTGTCTTTTTTTCCCCATTACAAATGTCACAAAATTCAAAATGACTTTTTTGATACAATATGAAGTCTTGTTTTATGAAAAATCTATCCAAATTAAGTAAGTTAAAATAAAATCTATCAATTGGATAAATATAATCTGGTTTTGCCTTTTGAATTAAGTTTATTTGTCTTGCATCATTGACAGACATTTTTACTAGTAATTTTGATAGTTTTCATAAAACAAGACATAACATCTTAAGTAGGGCTGGGCGATATAGCTAAAAAAATTATCAACGATATAATGTTTCATATTGTTCGGTATCGATAATTATTGACATTTTTTATAACCTTTTTTTAAAACAAAGAGCAATAGAATTTTTTTTTTACATTTAACCACTGCATTTTTAAATCAAACCCAATTTGAGACAAACAACTAACATTTTTTTGTTTTAACAATCAAACACAAAATAAAAATTAAACGAATATCTAATTTCTAATGCTTTATATGCAGATTAAATACGTTTTAAGGAAACTTTTGTCTTGTCTCCCGAGGCCACAGGAGCAAAATAATGCAGCGCATTTAAATTGTCAACGCAAGGAAATAACTGTCTATAAAAAACATGCATTACGTCTAAATTAACTCATAAAAATCGAATATAATTTCGTAAATTGCATAAACAATTATGAACAAAACAGCATCATGTATTTATACATTGCTTAATCCAAAGAGCCGAAGCGCCCATCACACAGACTGCATTTGAACACATATGAGACGCAGTGAAAAGGAATAAACCTCCACAAAATGTCAGTGATTATCGATACTATCGTTGATACATTTTTTTAGCTGTAATGCCCAGCCCTACCTAGCTATATGAGAAACCACTTACATCTAGTTGGGAGCAGGTGTATTTGTAATTTGTTTTTGTACCAGCTAACATTTTGAAAATACGAACACATTCTTCATGAATGAAAAAATTAGCGTCAGAATGGCTTAACAAACGATTTACACACAAAAAATCATTCTGCTCGTTTTGCATGTATGAGGCCCCATTGCTTATAAATGTTTGTTAAAAAACCGGAATATAATGTAAGCTTGTGCAATAATTATGGACTTGCTCTTAAATGGTGGCAGTGTAAATGATTACAAATAATTTAATCTTTTTTTTTTTCTGGTGAAATCCAATTTTATTGAAAAATGCCATCCCTAGTGTGCACATTTAGTAAATGAGACGCAATGTGTTATATGTCTGCTGCATTAATTCTTCTGCATTTGTTAACAGCAACACAAAATAAAAATTAAACGAATATCTAATTTCTAATGTTTTGTATGCAGATTTAAATAGGTTTTAAAGGGGTCCTATTATGCTCTTTTACAAAGTCTTGATCTTTTTGTTTTGGGGGTGTACTAGAACAGGCTCTCATACTAGGTTGTTCGAAAAACATTATTTTCTATAATAACACCTCTCTCCCCAGTCTGGCACGAACGGCTCGAATAGTTCCTGTATCAAATGAAGGCCCGCCTTCTGAAATACGAAATGTGCTGTGATTGGTTAGCTGGGCCAGTGTGTGTTGTGATTGGTTAGCTGGGGGAGTGTGTGTTGTGATTGGCAGCACTCAGCGCCTGGTCGGGAAATGTCATGCCCCTTACCATAGCCGCCTGCAAGCTTCAGTGTAAATATTGCATCAATATTAAATCAATTTGAGTGCCAATTAAACCCGGATGATTGTAACCACTCTAAGTTCGTCTGCCTTGGGAAAGCTAGTGTGTCTCCGACATAGTGATAACACTCGTTGCCTTCTCTAGTGCAGCTCAACCAGGTCTCGTCCCATTCGTCAATATTTGTGATATCACAAATCCCGTAAAATATGCGTTGTAGTCCAAACGAGTCGTTCGTTGTAGTTTTTGAAAATTGATTTCTGTTGAATAAAATATCTCCTTTTGAAGTGGACTTTGAACTTTGTAACTTTGCAGATCTTTTTTATGCTCAAACAGCAACATTAGTGCATAAGTGCATAATAGGACCCCTTTAAGGAAACTTTTGTCTTGTTTCCCGAGGCCACAGGAGGGCGCAATGAGCAAAATAATGCAGCGCATTTAAATGGTCAACACAAGGAAGTAACTCTATAAAAAACGTGCATTACGTCTAAATTAACTCGTAAAAATCTAATATAATTTCGTAAATTGCATAAACAATTATGAACAAAACTGCATCATGTATTTATTAGTGCTGTCAATCGATTAATCGAATCCAAAATAAGTTTTTGTTTACATAATATATGTATGTGTGCTGTATATATTTATTATGTATATATAAATACACACACATACAGTATATATTAGAAAAATAGGTTATGTTTATATACTAAATATATTTATTTATAATATAAATTATATGAATATAAATATAGACATGTAAATATATATTGAATGTGTGTGTTTTTATATATACATAATAAATATATACAGCAATATTATGTAAACAAAAACTTATTTTGGATGCAATTAATCGTTTGACAGCACTAGATGCATTGCTTAATCCAAAGAGCCGAAGCGCCATTCACACAGATTGCATTTAAAATAAATAAACCTCCACAAATTCGTGACGTGTTTTCTAAAAGTTTAAACCGTTTTAACTTTGCATGGCTACATCTCTGTCACGCGAGTGCAGCAGTCATATTTGTTCGTTAAAAAATGCGCTGTGAAAAAATGTGTGAATGGCTTGGTTTCGTTTTTTTCAACTAATCAAGATCTTCTCTGCATTGAACTTCTATATTTCTCTAATATTTTGAATGCATAACGCAGCAGCGGCGCGTCTCGTGGGCTAGACGAACAAAACATTAAAATGCAACAACGTCACTTACATCACCGCATCACTGATGACGCTCCCTGATGCACACTTAACATTCAAATGCAAATGTTTATTTTAAATTCGACTAATATTCATTTTTTTATTCACAATCTCCTCATCAGAGGCAGGCACAGCACTCAATTCAGCATGTGTTTGTGTGTGCTGTCTGCGTCACTCATAGCACGTGCCTATATCGTGCGCTATATCGAACATTTTTCTATCGCTATCGAAGAAGGTTGTACCGTTGATAAATATCGATACCGTTTTATCGCTCAGGCCTAATCTTAAGCCATTTTTAAGGAAATGTCTCTTCATTTAAGAATATTTAGATATTTGTACTGAAAATAAGACAACAATACTGATTTAGAAACTGATTTTTGCAGTGGTCCTAGATTAATCGTACTGTATCACATCATTAAAGGGCCCCAATTTAAGTTTATAGTGGCATTTTGAATCTTAAGATCCGTTCAGATGTCTGCTGTTTATTATGCAATGCATTTGATTTGAACATGTTTTCAAATATTTAGCCTTAGTACATTTTGTCAGCATTGGCTGAGGTTTCTCATTTCTCAAGAGTGAAGTTCTAAAAGTGTTACGTTTGACATTATTTATACGCTTATTTTTTTAACGGCTTTTTTAATTAAATGTTATTAGTGCAGCATGTATGACACAATCGAACACCATGTAAATACACAACTTGCTTTGGTGCCTTTTGAATGAGATGTTTTCCAAAAAATTGGCAATGCTGAAATGTGCGGTGGGTGGGTAGGTGGGTCTGTGAATGGAATGCAAATAAACACATTTCTGGTTGTAATTAGATGATGATGTGTGTTCAGTACGTGAGCTGCACCAGAGACTCAACTGCACAGCGCTCTCGTAATGGAGGGTTCCAGTGAAAGCGGTTTGCTTGATTAGTGCCATCATTCCAGTGGCAATCCCAAGAAAATGTTCATTAATATTTGACGCAACTACATCCACCAATTGTTACATATTCAAAAAGGCTGATTTTCATTATAAAAATACCATACTTTCTATGGTTATTGTTAAGTGGGGTCATTGCCAAGAAACAGGAGAAATAAAATGAAGACTGCGTTAACACTGATTAACATTTTATAAACTATTTTGATTTTGCTTACACAATATTATGCAAAGATGAATGTTTTTCTGCTTTATTCACTATAAAACTGTTTAATGTCAACTTTATATATAAAAAGAGTATTTAAACGTCATTGCATTGCATCAAAGCAAATGTCAAGCAAACAAATGCTGCGGGATCTTTTCACTAATTCGATGGCTCACATTTATTCAATGATGTTTAATCAAGCGATTTGGCGATATTTAGTTTTATTAGTCATATTTGAAGTTATTACTCCTCAAGTTCACACAGGTGTCCTAGTGGAGCAGGGGTGTCAAACTCAACTGGGGCCAGTTGTTCAAAAGTAATCGGATCAGATTTTGGCCATCGGATTGGATCAAATCTTGAAAATGGGTTGTTCAAAAGAAAAAGAAAAAAAAAGGATTCTGGATTAGATCACAAAATCCAATCTTGGTTTTGATCTGGATTAAATCCTCCATTTGTGTTGCTTAAAACGTTTTAGTAAGATTGGGATACTTTTTATTAAAAAAAATGGATTATTCTGATCATAGCAGAAAGGTGGATTCCAGGAACTAAAGTAATACAACTTTAAAACGGGTCCAAAAAATACATTTGTAACATGTAATATATCCCAAAATCCTCAAACAGCGGTCAACATTAAACAAAAAATATATTTAATTTAAAGTTTTTTTTAATAATTTCTTTTATCACTGATTGTAAACTACATTGGCACAATCGGATCAGTCAGAAGTAGTTACTACAATGTAAACGCAATGCAAAACATTTTTTCCCATCTAAATTAGTTAATTTTTTTCTATCACCATGCCCTTTTAGGGGCTCCGTAGCACTAGTAATCCAGATTTGGACATCTAAATACATGTGTATCTGGATCAGGGTGATCCAGCACAACAGTAAAATGGGTTACCTGATCCTGGACAGCAAAACATGGGATTTCCAAAACCAGATCATTCTGATCCAGATGAAACTTTCTGAGCAACTGACCCCTGGAAGGCCGCTGTAGTGCCGAAATTTGCACCCTGCCAGATTATGCACCCCCTAGTATTGGTAGGTTTAAGAGTAGGTGTGGGGGAGGGGTTAGGATTAGGGGTGGGGTTGGGATTAGCCAATCACATAGCGACTTCAAAGAGGGGGTGCATAATCTGGCAGGGGTGCAGAATTCGGCACAACACCGGAGCCCTGCAGAGTTTAAATTCAACCCTAATTAAACACACCTGATCCAAAAAATCAAGTCCGTCAGGCTTATTTGAAAACTACATGGTGTGTGTGTTGGAGCAGGGTTGGCAGGGATTGAGTTTGACACCCCTGTAGTAGAGGAAGCACGTGTAGATCATTACATTAAATATGAACATGTTTCACCACAACACTTTTATTTTGAAAAATAAATGTCGCCGCCTGATCGCTAGATGGCGCTGTTTCCAAGTTGAGGATCCATGAGTTTAGAAGAATTGAAAGCAGTTCCTGTGTCGGTGCTGCGCTGCTATGGTGACCAGAGAAGCCTCCGAGGATTTGAGGAGCAGATTAAGGCGCGAAGAAGTATTCTAAAACATTCATAATATAAGTAAAAATCTGAATTCAATTGTATAAAGAGATGTTTTATTTCGCTGTAAGCTGTTTTATAACAGCTATGGATAGGTAAACCTGCTGTATTCTCGATGAAATGCACAGAGTAGACTGAACACAGTTATTAATGGAGCATATTAGATCTATTTCACCTCTCCTGCATTTGGATTTAAATAATTTCAGCTCTCCTGAAGCTGAAGACAGCAGATATGTTCTGACAAGTCCACGTTCACTTGAATGCTGTGCAAGATTGGGAGTGAAACCCGTTGATCTGTTGCTCAGATCCCTCACAGACTTCATTGATGAGAACCAGGAGTCCTCTCTGGAGGAGGTGACTGCGTTATATGAGGAGTACGAGAAAGGAAGAAGAGAACGACTGCGCTTGTGTCGAGAGGAGAGAGAGCGGATCATACAAGAGGGCTGGAATAGAAAGTCGTCTGTAAAAGCATTCACAGCCCTGGAAACCGTCCTGGAGCAAAGAGCTGAGAGTCAACGCACCGATTCCAAAGCCAAGTGTCCAACTAAGACACGGTTCACAGACGACCGTGTTCATTCAAAGTCTGCGATTTCCATTTCAGATGGGTTTCCGACCACATGCGGTCAGAAGTTCCCCTACAGTTTCAGTCTGGCCGACCTCAGACGTTCTCCTGCGACGGAGCGTCGGCTGAAGAGCCTCTCGCAGGAGATCAGTCGCAAACTACGCATCGCCGTCCCAGAAAAAGACCGAAAGATTGTTGCATTGATGCTGGCCAGGCACGAAGAGGAGCAGTTTCGCTTACGCCAGAGCATGTTTGAGGAGCAACATCACGAGGAGGAGCAGAGGCGCGAGGAGGCACGGCGAGCTCACATGGAGCAAAAGCGACGAAAAGAACTTCTGCGACATATTCGCCGCTGGCAGGAGGACTTGGAGGAGCAGAGGAGGCGGAGAGAGGAAGAGGAGGCCATGTTTGCGGAGCAGCGTGAGCGGGAGACGCTTTGGCAGGAGGAGCGCTGGAGGAGGCACGCCGAGGAGCAACAAGCTCGGCGAAGGTTCAAGCTTGATGTGGCGAGCAGGGATGCAAAAGAGCGCAAACGCTACCAAGAGAGGCTCCTGCAGGAGAAGGAGCACATTGAGGAGGCGCAGCGAGAGAAGGAGCTGAAGGCGGTGCATGAAAAAGAACAACACGCAATGAGGAGCAAGCGAATGCAGGAGAAGAGAGAAAGGAGGAGACTCAAGCAAGAGAACCAGAGGGAGCAACTCAAGCACCTCCTCCTAAAAAAGGAGGTCGAGGAGCAGGAGCGTGCAGAGAAGGAGCTCAAGCGAAAAGGACTGGAGCAGAAGCTGCAACGCTCCAAGGAGAACCACGCGCTGCTTCTAGAGGCGCGGGTGCAGGAAATGCGATCACGTGCCGCGAAGGAGGAGCAGAAGATGCGGATTGCGCAGCAGCAGGCGAGGAGGGAGAACAGGGATCGGTTGGAGCAGAAGCAAACGTTGGTGCAGCGTTGCCAGCTGCGGATGGAGCGTGCAGTGCTGCAGGTGCAGGAGCAGCGGCGTCGCAGAGCTCAACTCGTCAGGCGAGAAAACCAGGAGAAGAAACTCGGCCATCGCAGACTACAAGACCGAGTCCTGGAGGAGGAGAAAGCGCAACGGGAGGAGAGATGCAAGGTCGTGACGCAGAAGGAACAGCGCTGGGAGAAGCTGCAGAAAGAGAGGGCCGAGGCCCAGGAGAGGAGCCGGAAGGTGGCTCACGCCTCCTGCTACATGCGGGAGAGGGTGAGGGAGCAGACGTCCCGTCGCACCTTCCACCAGATGGCACGAGAAGCAGAGCTGACCGCTCAACTGGGCCACCTGAAACTATGAATAGGGTAGAGCTAAAAAAAGAATCATTATAATAGTATTAATGGAGCCAAACAAAAGTCAGGAGTATAAAACTACTTCATAGCCAATACTTCCATCAGAAGTATTAGACTACGGAGTACCAGGTTGATGTATTTTTCATTCAAATGAGATGTTTACGGTGCTGATAAATGTATTTATCTACTCAAAGACAATTAATAAGCTGCACCAAAGGTCAAGTATTTATTGAATATGCATTATTTATTGACTTTTATTTGAACAAATAATGTGGTTTTATTAACCATTAAGGTTTTGGAATATTTTACAGTATTTATCACTCATTTTTATATGGATTTTGTGTTGCAGACCTATTTGGATAGAAACTGCAAATTCTGCCAGGGCATTCGAGGGTTAAGTTACTAAAAACATTTTGGAATAAAGCATGACTTACTAAACTCAAATTGCATGTGTAAGATAAATATATTCTGATAATAACAATTGGTTGCACATCGGACGGTGTATCGATAGCTGTTTATCTACAGCTGATACATCATCTTAAGGTCGACAAGGTCATTGTGCCAGTGTTATTACTGATAACAGTGTTATTACTGAAATTGTTGAATAGAGTCGTTATTATTGTTTTCATTGCGCACAAAAAGTATTCTCGTAGCTTCATAAAATTAGGGTTGAACCACTGATGTCACATGGACTATTTTAACGATGTCCTCACTACCATGTCAGTTGTGTTGCTGTCTATGCAGGGTCAGAAAGCTCTCGGATTTCACCATAAATATCTTAATTTGTGTTCCGGAGATGAACGAAGGTCTTACGGGTTTGAAACGACATGATTTTCATTTTTGGGTGAACTAACCCTTTAAGGTCAAGTGATTTTCGTCAACAAGTGATTTGCAAAACACAAAAATGCACTCAAAATAGCAGCTTTTAATAGATTGTCACGTACCAGAGAGATCAGTCTGCATGTGTCAGATTGCAGGGCATTTAGTTCTCAAAATAAACATTGGCTTATATCAATACAAGGCATTCTCGGTGTAATAGAAAACTTCAAAAAATAAACAATATTTTACATTTACTTGGAAAAAGATCACTGTATTGCACTTAAGTTTTGCAACTTTATGGAGGTGATACAAATTACTTAATTTTTAAGGCAAAATAAATTTTGATTCTAGATATAAGTATCAAATATAATCTTTTTTGTCTTTGACAATGCACATAAAAACACCACTGGCTTGTAGTTGTTTCTCGGCTAATAAAAAAATGAATGAGTTAAAGCTGTCTAATCGTTAAACAGAAAATGTGGGGAGTTTCATAACACTAATCATGACAAAACATAAAACTCTCAAAGAGCATTCTGAAGTCATAATATAAATATAAACATTTGAAAATGAAATATTACACGTCACTGTCAAGTTTGGCTGTTGGATGGTTTTTACAGATTAATCGTCTGGCAGTCCGAGGGCCAACAGAACAGGAAGTCCAGTCCCCAGGATGAGAGTCAGGCTCTCTGTGATGCTCAGACCGCTCTGCTGCTGGTAGGCTCCAGGTCCTGCGTGAGGGTGGAGGTGAGTGGAGCGCTGATGACCTCTGCTGTTGATTTCAGGCAGAACATGAACCGTGGCCACATATAAGAAAGTCCCAGCAGAGAACAGCATGCCAATGCCTGTAGCGCTCAGGCGGTTCTGAGAAGAGCCATTAGACTGCAAAGATTAAAAAAATAAACTATTCATTACTTATTTTAGATCATTAAAAAAAAAAACTGGGAGAAGCTGCAGAAAGAGAGGGCCGAGGCCCAGGAGAGGAGCCGGAAGGTGGCTCACGCCTCCTGCTACATGCGGGAGAGGGTGAGGGAGCAGACGTCCCGTCGCACCTTCCACCAGATGGCACGAGAAGCAGAGCTGACCGCTCAACTGGGCCACCTGAAACTATGAATAGGGTAGAGCTAAAAAAAGAATCATTATAATAGTATTAATGGAGCCAAACAAAAGTCAGGAGTATAAAACTACTTCATAGCCAATACTTCCATCAGAAGTATTAGACTACGGAGTACCAGGTTGATGTATTTTTCATTCAAATGAGATGTTTACGGTGCTGATAAATGTATTTATCTACTCAAAGACAATTAATAAGCTGCACCAAAGGTCAAGTATTTATTGAATATGCATTATTTATTGACTTTTATTTGAACAAATAATGTGGTTTTATTAACCATTAAGGTTTTGGAATATTTTACAGTATTTATCACTCATTTTTATATGGATTTTGTGTTGCAGACCTATTTGGATAGAAACTGCAAATTCTGCCAGGGCATTCGAGGGTTAAGTTACTAAAAACATTTTGGAATAAAGCATGACTTACTAAACTCAAATTGCATGTGTAAGATAAATATATTCTGATAATAACAATTGGTTGCACATCGGACGGTGTATCGATAGCTGTTTATCTACAGCTGATACATCATCTTAAGGTCGACAAGGTCATTGTGCCAGTGTTATTACTGATAACAGTGTTATTACTGAAATTGTTGAATAGAGTCGTTATTATTGTTTTCATTGCGCACAAAAAGTATTCTCGTAGCTTCATAAAATTAGGGTTGAACCACTGATGTCACATGGACTATTTTAACGATGTCCTCACTACCATGTCAGTTGTGTTGCTGTCTATGCAGGGTCAGAAAGCTCTCGGATTTCACCATAAATATCTTAATTTGTGTTCCGGAGATGAACGAAGGTCTTACGGGTTTGAAACGACATGATTTTCATTTTTGGGTGAACTAACCCTTTAAGGTCAAGTGATTTTCGTCAACAAGTGATTTGCAAAACACAAAAATGCACTCAAAATAGCAGCTTTTAATAGATTGTCACGTACCAGAGAGATCAGTCTGCATGTGTCAGATTGCAGGGCATTTAGTTCTCAAAATAAACATTGGCTTATATCAATACAAGGCATTCTCGGTGTAATAGAAAACTTCAAAAAATAAACAATATTTTACATTTACTTGGAAAAAGATCACTGTATTGCACTTAAGTTTTGCAACTTTATGGAGGTGATACAAATTACTTAATTTTTAAGGCAAAATAAATTTTGATTCTAGATATAAGTATCAAATATAATCTTTTTTGTCTTTGACAATGCACATAAAAACACCACTGGCTTGTAGTTGTTTCTCGGCTAATAAAAAAATGAATGAGTTAAAGCTGTCTAATCGTTAAACAGAAAATGTGGGGAGTTTCATAACACTAATCATGACAAAACATAAAACTCTCAAAGAGCATTCTGAAGTCATAATATAAATATAAACATTTGAAAATGAAATATTACACGTCACTGTCAAGTTTGGCTGTTGGATGGTTTTTACAGATTAATCGTCTGGCAGTCCGAGGGCCAACAGAACAGGAAGTCCAGTCCCCAGGATGAGAGTCAGGCTCTCTGTGATGCTCAGACCGCTCTGCTGCTGGTAGGCTCCAGGTCCTGCGTGAGGGTGGAGGTGAGTGGAGCGCTGATGACCTCTGCTGTTGATTTCAGGCAGAACATGAACCGTGGCCACATATAAGAAAGTCCCAGCAGAGAACAGCATGCCAATGCCTGTAGCGCTCAGGCGGTTCTGAGAAGAGCCATTAGACTGCAAAGATTAAAAAAATAAACTATTCATTACTTATTTTAGATCATTAAAAAAAAAAAAATATATAGTAAAAAAACAATCTCCAAAATCCAAAAAGAACATGTTGGTCCCATGGCAAACTTTGTGAGAACAAGGGCCAGTTGCATAAACTGCTTTTTTTTTCAAGGTCTAAGTTGATACTGAAAAGAAAGACTGACTTTCATACTGACTGACATAATGGGTATGTTTATGCAACAGGCCCCAGATCTCAAAAGGATCTGATGTCATTGTGTCATCAAAAACAAAACAAAACAAAACAAAAAAAAGAACTAAAATTAAAAAGCATGTTGCATTTTCATGTTGCATTCAAATAAATCTGAAATAAAATAAAAGATAAATGCATGTGTACTTACATATGCATTTACAAAAATTTGTAAATACTAATTTTTATATAAAAAAAATTCAAACTAATAAAAGAGACAAAAGGGCATAACAAAATTATTAAAATTTAAACTGAAAAATGTATTCACATTTTCAATTTGCTTTTAATATAATATAAAATATACTACAATAACACTGCATTGTGTGCATATTTTGATGCTTGGCTTGCTATTCTACTGGAACTAAAGTTTCACAGGACAAATAAAGAGAAACTGAGGTTTCATACTGCACTCAGGATGAAGTAAGTGCTGATAGCCATCAGCGGCGCAGCAGCAGAAAATGCCAGTAAATGCTTCTGAATAGTCTTCCTCTCCAGACCTGCGTGCATGAGGAAAGACACAAGACCAAACGCTGCTGGAGCCTAAAGAGAGACAGAGGAAAAAAGTGAGTTTGTGTTGAATAAAGCAAGGCAACTGGACACTCACTGTAATGGTTTGGTAACAAAAGCATGACAGAGGACGTGTTTTTTTATTGGCTCACATATTAAATTTTTTTCTATTCTCTAGTTTTAGATTGAGTTTTTTGGGGACATGTTAAGCAGTACTCGCTTTTCTTGAAAAGTGACTTTCATTGCATTTACAGGATAGATTTGATCAGTTAATGCATTCCATGAGAATCAAAGCCATGACCTTTGAATTGACCCAACGCAGAGCGTTTGATTGACAGGCGAATCATAACACCGAATCTGCCATTTTGTCCAACAAAACCAGACAGGAGAGTAGATTAACATCGGTGGACTTGAACTTGAAAAATGATGCATTTCCGCGGTTGAAACAAGATACCTTAGGATGTTCATTCATGTTTATTTCATGCTATAACAAGTAAAGAGGGAGGTTCATGTTTGAACTGAGGCACCACAAAACAGCATTTATTGTTCGAATTTCTTAAAAATGTACATTTGAAAGCTGAGACTTTGTTTCATACCAAAAGTAATCTGCTCTGTCTCATCTGTCGGCGTGTTATCAGTGTCGTCTTTGCTTCGCCATGTGTTTTTCACTGCGTGAGAACATGATGTGTGGCGTGAGAGCACCATGGCTTGTCAGACATAGCAACAGTAACTAAGGGGGGCGGGTCTTTGCGAATGGTCAATTGCTTTACGGTTTCATCTACTTAATACAGAATGACTCCGCACTGCTATTACAGATAAATAAGCAAACTCACCTTATGCAAAATGACTGCAAAAAACACAACAACCTGCACGGACACCTGTGATGAGGCCGCAGCTGCACCCAGAGCAACGCCATCAGCTGGAAAGAGACAGACAATGTGAACGTCATGCAAATAAGTTCCTCACAAATTTCAGCTGACAAATCACAGCAACCAAACTGAACTGATCATTATTTATTTTGAGTGCTGTACAGAACAAAATTAATGACGTAATTAATAATTAGAGTGACCTTACATCCTTTTTCTAAATTGCCTAAAATGTCCAGGTTTTGATTTTATTTTCCTATTTACAGCCTCTCTACAGTCCTCATATTTTATATGTATGCATATTTTGCATTGCTTTGACAGTTATCTGTAGTTCCCACCTTCTTCCACAGCACGATTGGTTGATTATTGGTCAAACTATTTTCCAGTCATTAACTTTAAGTATGAAAACAGCAGGAAAACAAAACCAAAACCCGAACATTTCAGGCAATTTAGAAATCCCAGCCAGGACATGTCTGGGAAAAAGAGGATGTATGGTAACCCTATTAATAACAACATAATTACAATTTTGGAGTAAACTGCACTTTAAACATAGCTTTTAAAGGGGTCATATGATGCGATTTCAATTTTTCCTTTCTCTTTGGAGTGTTACAAGCTATTGGTGCATAAAGAAGATCTGTAAAGTTGCAAAGACTAAAGTCTCAAATCCAAAGAGATATTCTTTATAAAAGTTAAGAGTCAGCCACGCCTACCTAAAACGGCTCGTTCTAACACGCCCCCACATGTCTACGTCACGATGTGGGAAGATTTGCTTAACGCCGCCCAAATGTTCATGCAAAGAAAGAAGGTGTAACTTTTAGTCTCACTGTAGTATTGTTGTTGCCGCCACCATGTCGTGAAGACGCTGTGTGTTTCGTTGTGAAAGCCAAACTACTTTGTTTGGTCTTCCAAAAGAGGACGATATCCGCTTCGTCATGCCTGGAGCTGATCTGTGCTGGTTGCTGAGGGAATACATCAACTTCGCTGTGGATCGCCGGATCGGCTTTCACCGTGGACGAAGCGGAGTCCAGCCCGGGGTCGTCACATGTGGTTGCCGCAAGCCCACCGGACTCTCCTTCGTCAAATCCTCCGGCCGCGCCATTCTCAAGCCCGCTGCCGCTCACTCAGGCCCGCCGTGTGAAACTACTTAGTTTGGTCTTCCAAAAGAGGAAACGACTAGAAATCAGTGGTTGTGCAGCGCATTTTATGGAGGACTGTGTCCTGATCCTGGTAGAGTAACTACAATGCCGGCTGTTCTGACTCACAGACTGCAAGTACGTTTTCATTTTAAGGATTTGCCACTGACGATTCAAACGCGAGTTTTGAGCAGTGTATAGTAGCGCTTGTTGTTTGTCATTTCTCCGATCACAAATGCAGAATTGGTTTTATGTTTACGCGACGCAACGCGTAAAAAGACAGTATAAGTCATTATAATCCATATAATCATGTCGCCACTGGATGCAACAAATGCATCGTTCTTTTAATGTTTTTGTCTCGTCGCTCTGGCCGGGACACGCCATCACAGTATGTTAAGGGGCGTAACATTTCCATCACACGCTTGAGGTATTCGGCCAATCACAACGCACTGGATAGCTGGCCAATCAGAGCACACCTCGCTTTTCAGACCGATGAGCTTTGTAAAAATCGACGCGTTTCAGAAAGGCGGGGCATAGAGGAGAAACAATAATGTACAGTATGTGGAAAATAATGCGTTTTTTTAACCTTAAACCACATAAACACATTTCATTACACCAAATACACAAAATAATGTTCTTTTTTAGCAACATCATATGACCCCTTTAAATGTTTTTGTTGGCACTCCTTGTAATCCAATATTTGAAAACAGAAATGTAACACTAGCCATGAAAACCAAACCACACAATGAGGTTAGTCTGTTTTTAGTGTCCCTTTTTTGGTATTAAAGGACAGATGCTGTGATAAAAACACAATGGAGGCTTATTAAGCAGAATCGAGAACCCATTGTTCATTGACTTGAATAACCATACTCAGAAGGACAAGCACTACGGGCATGATTCACTGTAATGTGATCTGTTGAGTCTGGGCAATATGGAACATAATAGTGGAAGTGAAGCCTTTGTTACCTGCGGCGTGAATAAGCAGACCCAGGGTGGCAGTAACACTGTTGCCACTGTACACGCGCGCTCGGGGTTCTGGGAAACAAGACAAACAGAAACGTTCTCAAGAGAGCATCTGACAGCGTTTCACACCGGTTGTTTTTCCACAGACTCCAACGTGTCTGTCTGCGGCCGAGTGGAATAAATTCAATTCATAATGCATGCTTACAATTGTGCTTTACAATTTCAATAATACACTAAGAATGAGATTTATCACATTACAGTAGGATACTGAAAATTTAAATACAAGATACATACGTACATGCAATAGATCCTAATCTTTTTTTTTTTTTTTTAAATAAAAACTTTTAGAGAGCCACACTAAAAGTTAGGACATTTTTAAAAAGAAGTTGTGTGAAAAATGCTAAATAATTTTTTATTCCTGACATGGTACCTGGACGCAACTTGCTGAAGTAAACAATATTGCATGCATACTATTGTATACCATTTCAGAAACTATTAAAAACAATATTAAGCAACAAATCCAAATGAAATTATTGAATGTAATAATTAATACAGAACGATTGCAGAGTCATTCAGTATACATTATTACAAAGCTAAGCTTAAAGCAAAACATTGAATCTAGTTTATTTTAAGATTAGCATACATTTAGGGTGATCATACGTCATTTTTTCCCCAGACATATCCTGACCGGGATTTCTAAATTGCCTAAAATGTCCAGGTTTTGTTTTCCTATTGTTTTTATACTTGCTGCAGGTAATGACTAAAAAACAGTTTGACCAATAGTGTGCTGGCATTGTACACGATCGACCAATTGTGTTGTGCGAGAAGGTGGGATCTACAGAGAACAATCAAAGCAATGCAAATACACATACATATAACATATGAAGAATAGGAAAACAAAGGCAAAACCTGGACATTTTAGGGAATTCAGAAATCCTAGCCAGGACTTGTCTTGAAAAAGAGGGCGTATGGTCACCCTTATACATTTCTATTCTCAACACAAGCCTCTGTGTGGAAGAAGTGAGTGGATAAGTATTGAAATGTGTTTCTGATAAGAAGCAGCATTGAGGTACCGTGCATAGAGCAGTAGTTGGCAATCTGGTCCACCACAAACATGAGCGTAAAGCCCAAGACGAGAGAGATTCCTATGAAGAAGTGAGGACGCAGACCTTTCTTTCCGGCTAGATGAAGTGTTGAATTTGATTCAGAGATATTTTGATTCTCGTCCATAGCGGAGCAATACCAGTCTACATGAGGAGGAGAAGAAACATGTATTGGCAAACATAATCAATCGTTATCTCTTCAATATGAGGCTACCAGCAGTGAGTTTTAAAGGGGTCATATGATGCTTTTTTAAAGATCATTATTTTGTGTATTTGGTGTAACAGAATATGTTGACATGCTTTAAAGTGTATTAGAGGTGTCTTAGGACATCAGTGTGTCATCACGAGCCGCAGGGTTTAATTTGGATTTGTCTGCATGTTTTTTTTACTCTCATAGATTTTGTTACCATTGCCATGCATTATATGACTGACAGACTGCAACGGCTGGAGTTAAAAATCATCATACGTGTTATACTGAAGAAACAAAGTCACCTACATCTTGGATGCCCTGGGGTAAGCAGATAAACATCAAATGTTCATTCTTGGGTGAACTATCCCTTTAAGTGAAACGCAGTTAGTGTATTTCTTTGTAAATGACATTTCATGACACTTTATATGGTTTTGTCAGTCTATTTTATTGTTCAAAGACATGGAAGAGTTTGAGGATGACACTACAAAAGATAATTTGAGCGGAGGTTGAGATACAAAACTATTAAAAACAGCAATCGCAAGCAAAGTACGATCCTAAGGGAAATCTGAATGGACAAAAGCAAAATTCATGGTCGACTGTACATGGTTTTGCTGGCTAAGCTGTACAAATGCAAATACAGTTTAGTGTTCCAAGAGCAGCGCAATGCTTCTATTTACAAAAATATTACACGGATTTATCCACTTCACTCCAGGCCAATGGCCGGTTAATTCAAAAGATGGAAAAGTAATAGACAAATGAAATAAATATTGTGGACAACATCTGTAACAAATGGGAAAAGCCTATAAAGATGCATAAATAAATTATTGCCGCATCATGCTTGAAATAGTGTTTTTCCTTAAATAGATCCAGGATGCAGTCATCACCTACAGTATCTAAGCAGCAAGAGCATCAGACGTACAAAGCACTGCAGTTACTCAGTGTTGTCCAAACAAGATCACTGACAAAAATGGCTTGATATGGTTACATACACCATGATAATGTTACATATTCCACTGTGAAATAAATATTGTGGACAACATCTGTAACAAATGGGAAAAGCCTATAAAGATGCATAAATAAATTATTGCCGCATCATGCTTGAAATAGTGTTTTTCCTTAAATAGATCCAGGATGCAGTCATCACCTACAGTATCTAAGCAGCAAGAGCATCAGACGTACAAAGCACTGCAGTTACTCAGTGTTGTCCAAACAAGATCACTGACAAAAATGGCTTGATATGGTTACATACACCATGATAATGTTACATATTCCACATGAAGTGCATAGCCTAGTGTTATTTGCATTTAAAAGTTACAAGCTCCTCAGTGATAGATTGGTAGATTAGTGTGATTTACATAAATTAACTAAAAATCACTAATTAGCTTCCTAATGTTTAATTCACAAGTTTGCAAACAAGTTTCAAGTTAACATTTGTTGCAAAAAGTGACAGTTTAAACACTGCATTGCTATTCCTGTAAACAATAAATGACACAATGAGAACTATTTATGTCCACTAGCAGGAAAGATCAACCATATAGAGGTTGGACAAAGAAAAATTTTTTTTTTTTTAAAGCAAGTACTCAGGCACAGCCTTTGTCTGCTCGTTTTTGAAAGAAAAATTAAAAAATATTTTGTTTCCAGTTCTGACTTGCACAAAAAACACAAAAATGCATTATGTATATAATGGACACAGTAGCAAAAATGACTGAGCATGGTGACAAAACAGATATAAAGAGTGTAGTAAAAAAAAAAAAGGTGGCTAAGAAATAGTGGTCAATGTACTAGTTTTTGTGTATTTTTTTTCCAGACTTCAACCACTAAATGATGCATAAACCCAGTCAAATTAGCTCGCAACTGGAAGAGTGTCAGCGAAAAGCTTGTAAATGGCCAACAGGTAAGAAGAAACACGGAACAGAGTCTGTTATTTCTCATTCTCTTGTCAAATTGCAAGGAACACACCACTATAGCAATAAAGGCGACCATAATCAAGACACATATTGATATATGACTCAATGCGATCTTGCTATCATCATAAACCCAACTTTCAGGATGTTCAGGGATTTCTGGTTATGTTTTCCATGCACTCTTTACAGTATGAGTAGTAAAATATGTTAAATGATCAAAAATGGTAATGTGTACATCACTTGTTAGTGGTAATAAAAAAGAAAACAAAAAAAACAATCACCAAAACCTGATGAAACCATTATTTCATACCCATGCATAACAAAAAGAACAAATATATTCACATTCACAAATTCTGCCTTTAAGCCCACATAGGGAATTTGCTGTGCGTTTAAGTAATTTTTTGCTACAGTATCAGTTATTGACAGAACATTCCACAGTAGAGCGACACAATTTAATGTTGGTCCATTTGATGCCTGATTCAGAAAGTCGCGTCATACCACATTTAAACACTGAATGCACAGAAGACGTAAGGGTAGACAGGAGAATAGTTCCAGGGATGGTGATGTGCCTTTGAGTCTAAAAGTGGCTTTTCCAGTCCAAGTATATGGTGAGACAATTAGTGTTCGGTGGCTGTTTTCCTCACAGTTGGTTAATTCAGCAGGCTGGAGTGAGTTTTTCGATCCTTTTGTTTTTCCAACAATTACTAATACAAGAGGAACTAGTAATGGTATTCAATGTTGAATACATTGGCTTTGGTAGAGAAGAATGAAAGTTGCATTCATTTGCTCATCTTCAAATATATCGTGCTGTAGTGCCATTTCAGCTGGGACAAAGAAAATAACAATATTTGGTTTCTAAATCAAAACCGAATCATTCATGCTGATTGGTGTTTATTACACAAGCATTTCTAATACATATGATTTCTCACTAAATTTGATAAATTGTGATAGTGATTCACCATCACTGAAATGTTTTGGGCCTATCTGTTTTTATGTACTACAGATGGTAAACATGAAATGGTGTTGCTAGGGCTCTAAAAACAAATGACTGTAAATGATCACATGGCTGTCTGAAATACTTGATTCTGATTGATTAAATCATAGTTACCATATATATCTATTTTTGCTTTTAACTGTCACCAAACTGTTAACTGAACATTATTCTACGTAACTCTTTTCCTAAGAAGAAATCTTTTAATATTTACTTTATGTAAAAGCTTTGGAGACTGTAAGCGTATATGTGAAATCCACCCTAATATACAATTTTCCTGCCCACCTGAGATAGCACTATATCTGTTTTAATTAATCATAACATAGCTCAGTTAAAATTTTTAATTGCAAATTAGGAGTAATCATTACTGTTTTTGGTCTTATTTACTAGACATGCGCTTGTAACGGCAAGAAACTCGGTATCTACCAAACGCCATACTAGTGTTGTCAAAAGTACCGACTGTGATACCAGTCGGTGCTGAAATTTTAAAAACGTATTTGAGCGCTGCTGAGCGGATTCTTAAACACCGCTGATTGGCCATTGTGTTCAAGTGCTCAACAGATATGATTGTGATTGGCTACAATGGTTATCGCTTCACGCTCTTCACCAAGCGCTCACACAGAAGCACACGGGAGCGTTTGAAAGCTGCGTCTATCAGAGGATCCGTCTATGTGCAGATATATTAGGGATCTTCTGATAGACGCAGCTTTCAAACGCTCCCGTGTGTATCTGTGTAAGAGCTCGGTGAAGAGCGTGAAGCGATGACCATTGTAGCCAATCACAGTCTTATCTGTTGAGCACTTGAACACAATGGCAAATTAGCGGTGTTTAAGAATCTGCTCAATAGCGCTCAAATGTTAGCGGGAAATGGTCGTTTTTAAAATTTCAGTATTGACTGGTATCGCGGTCGGTACTTTTGACAACACTATGCCGTACAAACAGGGTAACCAATGTAAAGAAGTATTGTGAAACGCCGTTTCAAATAGGTGGAGTACAATCACAAGCCATTCCAAATTCTTGACAATTGGCCATCCTGTCTCCAAGCCTCAATGATAAATGAGTGTTTTAGCTGTCAGCTGTGATGGATTCACGCGCTCAGTAAGTGAAGTGAGGTGTAGTGGATCTCCGTTTGATCATGTTAAAGTCCTGCCATGTTCAGCACATGGCGTGACCCTGCCTGGGTCACTGGTGCACCTCGTTTTCAATAAGGCTGTCCTCTCCTGATTGGAAATCACCCTCGTTCCCCCCCTCCTCATCCTGCGATGACCCCTGCCCCTCGTCCTCGCCACTTCCCGTCTCGTCTGTGTTTGGGTCCTGTAGCACTTGGGCGACATACGTCTGCTGATATAGAATACAAAGAGAGAAGATGTAAAGTGGGAAAAAATCAGATGTGACAATATCGAATTTTGTTGATGCCAGATGAATAACTACTAAATAAATACTGTTAATGCTAAAAATTAGGGGTGTAATAAAGCTTTCATGCTCATGATGCGCGAGACACTGATGTGATTATTAAAACTTACCACAGACTTGACAGGATGAGATGAATCTGGTGGTCGTCCATTGTCCACACCGTCCATGTCGATCTGTAGAGAATTCAGGAAAATCACACTGCAGATTAGAGAAAGTTCTGTGCTTGGATTTATTTATAAAAAACAAATAATCAAACAGACAGAGCTATTTCTGACCTTGTAATTGTGCGCACTGAGGTATCTGAAATGACCAAAGACGACATGGGAGAGGCAAATGATGATGGTGATGATCAGAACCACAAAGGTAAACATTGATGTCGGAGCAACAAAACCTTTAAAATGTAACAAGGAAATCAAGAGAGAAGAGAACAAAAATCACATTAGAACAGAGAAGAGGAAGAAAAATCATTTTAGAGTTATGACAATAATCTTTCTACAGTTACATCTAGAGCACTGATTCTCAACCTGGTTTTCCACTGGCCCACAATACTCTCCAAGTGCAAGTGAGCAACCTTGCTGCCTATTGTTTGGAACTATCATTGCATCCACACAGTATTCCCATGATGCCTAAAAATGCTGCGTAGGTAGGCAGCTTGCTAGGGTTTAGAACAGACCCACTATCTGGCATTGTCTTACCTGTACGGACAGTAGAGAAGAAGAGCAGCCAGAAAAGGCAGAGGATGGGTGCTGCCACCACCTGGTTGACAGCTCCAGAGTGGATTTTCTTATCCAGTTTGGAGGGCAGGTAGGCATAATACATGTTATACCTGTCCACCAGGTGCTTCAGTAGCATGTACATCAGTCCTGCAGGCAAAATTAAAATAGTGTTAAACGTGCCGCCATGATGCCAGAATTCTTTATAGTTCTTCAGCGAGAAATGTCTCTCACCAAATGGTACAATAATTGGACAGGTGATGCTATAGGTCATGACCACAGTAAAGACGTTCATCATCCAGGCGTAAGCAGCTCCAAACTGGAACTCATAAGCTTGATGCTGTAACAAAATGGAACCATGCATAAGGATATGAGTTATTGAGCATAATAGCGTAAGGGTGAGTATAATGACCGTTGTACTTGAAACTCTACAGACCTTCTTCACGTTGCGCCTCTCAGCAGCTGAACGTGCCAGACACAGCCGGATCATGTACATAAGGAAATAAGGAATGCGTAACAGGTCCATGGCGTTACCAATGAAGGCAGACGCAATGACATAGTTCACAAAGAAAGCTCCATTATCTGGAAGGAAGACACACCTAATAGAGACAAAAAAGAAATCAAGCCATAAATCTTTAATATGCATAAACCAAATGTTTTCGAAACAACAACCCCTGTAACACAGGATTTTAGAGCTGCAAATCCTCTCATGGACTTACTCGAATCTGACTTTTGCCTCGTCGAGGAATTTCTTGTCAAAGAGCCAGCGGAAGAAAACATCCAAACTGCATTTTGGAAAAGATTGTGTGAAATGTTTAATACAAATGAGAAATGAGGCAACACGGCAAACACAACCAGGATAAAAAGTTGAGATGTTTTCCATTTCCTATAATCAGAAAGAATCTTTTTGATGTGAAAATACACAAAAATGCAATATTTGTATTGAAAAAGATTTTTCAATGATACAAATTACTATTATTTCAAGTTAAAATACACAAATCGCACAAATTTGCGTATTATATCAAAAACTTAATGGTTGGTAATTTTCAGCATTTTGTTGAAAGGTTGTTTATTCAGGAACATATTACTTAATAAAACATCATATAAATAGTTAGGATGCAAAATGTAAAATTAGAACTAAGTAACAGTTTTGTGAAATATTGCTGATGAATGTTGATACCTAATACGAAATACCTGAATATAATATGTCTCAAATTTAATAATATTTTCAGTCAATGCTATTTGAAGGCATTTTAAAAGCTAGGATGGGATAACTGTATTTTGTCTAGCATAACAGCTGTATTTCTAACTTTTCTATGTAAACCGAGTGTTATAAAATACCTGCTCAGTCCTAGAGATGGCAGCAGCAGAACCATAAAGATGAGGAACGTGTAGCATTTGTGCATGGTGGTTCTGTTCTCTCCAGATCTAAAGAGAAAAGTCATGTATATTTTGAGCTTGGGACCACCAGGTTTGTGTCTACTTGTGTCAACCAGAAAATGGTTTAGCTTAGAAACTCTAACTCTAGGTCATTAAAAAATTCATGGATATACAGAATTTGGCATTGTACCGTGTCCAGTGGGCCTCAAAGAAGGCGGAGTAGTAGACGATGGTGGGGAGAAGGGCCGAGAAGCACCACAACAGCAGGGTGGGGAAGAACTGAGTGATGATAGGGTTCTGGAGGAATAGACACGGGGGAAGGAAGGGAGGTGATGAGAGACAGAATCATGACCCAATAATCACACTGCATTTGATGCTTATTAACACCCAGTTTAACAGACTCCTTACGTTCAGGTACTCCACGGGTTTGGTGACGTTGAACTTGTCCATGGTGGAGATGATGATGGCAGGGGTGGTGAGGAAGAAGAGCAAGATGAAGAGAAAGCAGTTGATGATAAAGCAGCGGAGCCACCAGTTGAGGCCACCAGTGGACAAATGCTCCCTGTGAAAAACAAGGTACGAGTCACGATTTATGTAATGAATCATACAACTACTATATGTGACCCGTGCTGGCAAAATGAGTCACAATGAGCAAATGTTCAATAATGAGTTATTGTAATTTTCCCATTCTCTATTAAAAAAAAACCTTCAAAATGATATGGACAAAATATATGTTCAACTTTTTTTCGATGATCCCACAATGCACCATGTGGGGTGTTTTGACCAATCACAGAAGATGTGTGAATCTTCACTTGCCTCATGATTCGATTCGATTATGATTTAGAGGGTAATGATTCGACTATAAAACGATTCTTGATGCATCTTTTCCTCCAATTTTTTTCTTAATAATAATAATAACAACTATATTAATCATAATATATTTTTGTTACTTTAAACAGTAGTACAAATATAAGAAACAAATTAAATTAACACTACTTTCTTCATTTTACATCTAAGCAAAATCATTCAGGTAAGAAAAACAAGTAATCAAAATCAAATGTAAAAATCACTGCATAGTCTATATGTAATGTGAAATGTAATGTATTCATTACAAATCAAGTAGTTCAATCAAGAGCAGCGAGTGATTCCTTCTTTTCTTTTATTGTTTGATTAACATTAATGACACAGACGGTCTATATATTAAGACCTAATGTAATGCATAGAACTAATATAATGTTACACATCAGATGTTTTTCAATAGCTGTTCTCCAAAGATCATGTTTTTTTCATGGAGCAAATGGAAGAATATTGATATATATCAATGACTGTCAAAATTTGGAAACATACCAAGATATACATTTTTTAGCTATATCGCCCAGCCCTACTGGATACATACAGCACACTCACGTTATGTGGTATGTACTATATAGCAAATCTCAACCACTTGATTCTTATATACAGTATAGTACATCCACCATTACCTGCAAACATACAGTATACTCACATAGAGCAATCTATACTATATAGCAAATCTCACCTGCATGATTGTTTATATTGTTGCAAAAATGTAAACTGTATTATCATATAGCTCTATATGTAAAGTTGAACATATATTATATATCCAACTTTATTCGCATACATATAGTACACTCACGTAAAGGAATATATACTTGTATGTATATCAAATCTCACCTGCTGATTTTTTGTTTTATTATACTATATTATCGTCCAGCTCTATATATAAAGTTGAATATGCCATTATGTACAAATGTATCCACATACACACAGTATACTTGTGTTGGCCGATATATACTATATTGCAACATAGTATAGCAATCAAGCAATATAGGTTGATTGTATCATTGCAAAATGTAAACTATACTATTGCACCGCTCTAATCTGCTAAATGCAACTATAAGGCATGAAGATATTAAGCTATTATAAACATTAACATCATGATGTTCTGTAAATCTACTTTGAAACAATATGCAACTTGATCACTGTCTCCAAAAATAGCCCACAAACCTGCACAATCTAATGCATATTGCATATGAAATTGCAATATCATTTAGCAATAATATGCATTATAGATCCAGCTCAGAATGAATTATTATTCTGGAATCATCGATTTCAGATTTACATGCATGTAAAAACAACTAACTGTGGTCAGTCTTTCCTGTCTAAGTGGGTATTTCTTGGCCAGAATGAAACCGCAAAGTGGATCCCGCTTTATGTCCAAAGTCTAGCTCTGTGAGACTACGCTCATAATGAATTCATGAGATTTAGGATGAGGATGTTACCAGTAAACATTCTGTGGATCTGGAGCATATGTGACTGTCCAGTTGTATGTGTTGAGAAGGCTGCTGAAGGGGGAGGACTTTGGCTCTCGTCGACAGTGACAGCCGTGACACTGACATGCGTTAAAATCTTTCAGGATGCTGGGAAGGGTAAAAAATCAGATATTAATATGATTTTTCCTTCTGGTAAAGTATTGTGATGGTAATATGATCATATCAGAAGGTAATACCATGATACTGAATGATCACAATATTCATGTGCAATTTTACCTCTAAGAACAGCTAGTACCACAATGATACTCTTTGGTTAGCGTTTTATTCACACACAAAGACCAAAACGTCTATTAGACTTACAGGGATGTCATGGCTTCATTCTGGAAGGTAACAAAAGCCATTCCCAGAGGTTTAGTGTTGACTTTTTCTCGTTCTTTTTTGTATTCTTCCTTCAGTTTGGCCTCCAGCTTAGTGTAGTAGTTCACAGCCTCTTCCTGCAGGAATGGATTAGCATTACAAGAGTTAAAATGCACTTGATTTTAAAGACATTCATTTATATATATATAATCTTCATTTATATATAATCTTAATTTGATTTGACTTTTTGGCCATATAAATATCAGCATCTGCACCAAATTGCATATTTTTGCTCAGTTTGGGCCTCTGAATAAAACTATTTTTTTCTGCCTGATGTATCAAATAAGATCAACTCAACAAAAACACATATGCAAACTTTTTTTTTATTTTATTTGAGATTTCTTTGTCTATTATTTCATATGTCAGGCTTTACAGTGTTAACATCAGGTGACTGTCCCTTTGAATTCTGTTACTTCTCAATGCTTCAAGTCAACAATTAATCAACGAACCCTCTATTTAATGCTTTGTAAGCCTGCCAGTTAAGAGCTTGTTTTTCCAGCAGCCATACTGACTACAGCATTCCAGTCATCGGCCAGCAGGGGGACATGAAGTGCTACAGAAAAATCACTAGTGACAAATGGGAAATCTGTTTATCTAATAAGGAGCTTGGGAGCTGCTGAATAAGCCCGTGCTGATGTTGAACATGTCTCACAGCAGCAGAGCGTACATCATCCTGACTGTAAATATAATGAAGCGGAGCTACAGGCAGAACACGAGACAGAGGATGTGACACACTGACTGTGTGTCTGATGGGAAAAAGTTGTGTATTCATGATGACAGTTCATGCATTTCTGATTTATATTTGAATGTGAAGTGAAATGCATGATCAGTCATTTACTAATGAGGGATCTAGAAACCCACTACTATTCAAAACACTTTGGGTTGAAACTTGAGAGGTTATACTGCATTTGACCTGACCTGCTCGCAGCCCGCGATGATGCAGCAGCAGAGGTGGCCGCAGGGTTTGGGGTTAATCATAGTGGGGATGTGCTCCTTGGCCATCAGGTCTGTGTAGAACTTTTTGCTGCGTTCTGCCTTTTTCCTGAATAAGACAAAGTCAAGAACATTGAATTGAGCCTGACTGTGAAGTTTACTTCCAATACATTTTAGTTGCAATTTCCATAAAGGTGGTACAATTTAAGGTCAATTTAAGTCCATTTTTGTTCTTTTTCATCAAAGGGTCATTGAAAGCAGAATGTTGTTCAGACAGAAAATACTGTTTAGTTTGACCTCAAGAGGTCAAAATAAATAGTAAATGAGTCATTTTATTACTATTTTTTTTTTAATGAAGCTTAAAATCTAGGTTTGGGTGATTGGCATAATGTAGCAATGTACAGTAAAAACATGAAAATGTAACTATATAAAATACTATTTAAAAAAAGGAATCGGACACAAATCTGTACCTTATTCATAGAAAGTTCCTTGTGTACAGTACTTAAAATGGTGACTGAAACTTGTCTAAACTAAGCTTGTAAAATTTGTACCTTTCAGACTCCAGGGACATAAGCTTGGCAACGTCGTAACAAATGCGAGCATCCAGAACCACACAGTTTTCATATGCTTTCCTGGATATGAACACAGAGATGAAAAATGAAAAGTGTAAGAGAGACAAAACTTGCAGGAGCCAGGCTTCAGTATTGTCTGGCGCACACTGTACTTTACGCTGGCCAAGAATGGCTCACTTAGACCGGAAGAAACTGACCGACATGTAAAATGACCAGCCACTGTTTCTTTTTATGCGTTGCATAAGGGTGAGTAAATCTAAAATCAATGGTATCAAAATAGTAGACTAGCATACAACAAATTGGTAGGCTTTTTAAATAATGACACAGCAGTCTCTGTGAGATGATGTACAGACAACACTGAAGACATTAGTGGAGTATAATGTGTACACTATTAAGTCCAAATTTCCATCCATCCTAAAGTAATAGATCTGTGGGAGTCTAAAGGACTGATGACTCTTTTCCCAGTTGGCTGCAGTAGGACAGACTGCAATATGCTTTGAGACGTCTGCGAGTCTGATATTCTGCTCTCATTTGTGTTTGCTCTTTTCTTCCTCACGTCCTCTATCTACACATCCTCATTTCTCTTTCTCAATTGTCACTTTGGCCCCACAGCCTTATACTAGAAATCCTTGACTCAGAAGTAGTTGAAGACATGTATTGTCCCCGCACATTCTTTAGCAGTAAGTGAGATTAGTTAAACTGAGTGGATGGACACGCTGAGCATCTTGTAGCCACATGACCACTTCAGACCAATTAAAACAAAAAAGTTTGTCATTGTCTTACGTGGGCCACGTCTCAGGACTAAGCTTGAATTCACTGTGGATTGGGGAATCTTAAAGGGATAGTCCACCCAAAAATGTTATTATTTACTCTCCCTCATGTCATTCCAAAACTGAATGACTTACTTTTGCAGAACACAAAATGAGATCCAACGAACAATTCAGCAGACAACACTGGACCCCACTGACTTGGATTAGACATTTATCAAAATATTTTCTTGAAATGTTCTACAAAGGAAAGCGAGTCATACAGGTGCATAAATACACACTTCACCCTTACAGCTGATGGGAAGGCATATCCTAATTAACACTGACATAAAATGCGTATTTTCAGTAAGAACTTACTCGAAATGCTGCTTTATTTGACTCTCTTCTGCATATTTTGCGATCCCATTAATGAATAAAGTGCGTTTCACCTGTGAATGGAGACAATTTGGAGACATCAGAGTTTATTTATTATCCTTTCAACTATAATATTGATTGATGCTCTGTTAATCCCCATTAACAGAGCAATATTACACAGCACTAAACTATGGACCTTAGTCAGGAGAGACATATTTCATTTGACACCAAGTATGAGTCTGTGAAGAGACAGACGTACAGTCTGTTTACATTGTTAAAAATATTGAAATAACCAAGCAGTTTTACACTGTTTGACGATTCATCTGTGCACATTATAATATATATATATTTTGCAATCTTTCATCTGGAACTTCACCATCATCAACCTTTTTTTTGCAACCACTTTTTCAATTTTTTTTAACCCAATCAATTCCCAAGTTCCACTCTTCATTTTTCTTTTCCCATGTTAAATATCCAGTTTCACTCAAAAAAATGCTAGATTATGCAAGTAAAGTGGGTTGCAGTGGGATGTTTACTCTGATTAAGGTCCATAGCGGGAAAGATAAATATTTGAGTAATGATGATGAATATGGGTTTAGGTTAAAATCTGAAAATAAATGAATGTTCCTGGTTCGATACAAATTGTGGTTACTGTAAGGCACTTACAGCTGAGGTAAAACTTTAAAATGGGCCAGTGTTCTGGAGGGCTTAAAACATTGAGAATGGGCAACACATTTCTATCTGGATACTTTAGATCGGTTGTGGGCACTGTGTCTCACCTGGTTGCCCGCTGACGGCAATATTGCTCAAGAAGTTGCCCTGTGTATCATCACCTTCAGAGACATTAACAGTCTCTAATGCAGTTTAAGGAGTTGTTAGAGGCAGCGTGGGTGCACGTGACACCAGTTTACATAAGTGCAGTTATTCCAGATCACAGCAGGGAAGGGAGAGGCAAACAAACGGCTGTCAAAAGGCGTGTGTGCTATTATGAAATGCACAGGTGTGTGTGCATTAAGGGGGACAGAGCTATAGTAGATGACAAAAGCGTGCGCTTTTCAGACTGTGTGAACATGAGCGTGAAAGAGTGAATACATGAGAAAGGAAGACAAAGGGTATGTTCAGAATGGCAAACTTTTATAGCACCTTTAATACTTTTGTAGTACGTATGTATACTGTGAACAATATGCAGATTTTCTATATGGACAGAAACCCAGATGATGTAATGCGCTCAAGTTCATCTTCTATTTAGAGAATGATCTCCCTTTCAAATGACTCATGCCAGGGCTTGCACCTCTCGACTTGTGTGCTGCTTTTACTTTCACATAAAGAGCATTGCAGATATAGCCTTAAGGTATGTACACAAGGACGATAATTGTAACAATATCTATAACTATAAAGTTTTAATAACCATTCTAATTCTATGAGAATAGGAAAGTCCACACCATTATATAACTATTATAATAAGCCAGTGTTATTTTAGTATCATTGATATAATATAGTTTTTATTAATATTTTGAATTTTGTAAGTGTGTTATTGTCATTTTATTTATTTTTTTAAAATTTATATAGGTTTTATACATTTTTATTTTAGTTTTAGTTATTTTAGTACTTTAAGTAAAACTAAAAAATGAGAAATTATGCCTTGGCAACTAGCTGAAATAAATGAGCCGTTAACTGAAATAAATAACTTATTTTATGCTTTGGTTTTATAAATAATATCCCTGATTAGGATACTGGATATTGTTAGAATCACTTTCAGAACTAATTTTTCTACAGTAACTGATGAACGATAAAAATATTTACAGTGAACCAGAATCCACTCGGCTTTAAATTGCTTGAAGATTCAAAGTGGCAGATGACATAACTGCAGCATGCACTTATGATAAACAGAATGTTATTGTGTGTTGGTGTGGACACTAATATAGTTATCTTTATACTGTAGTTATAGTTCTTGGTGTGAATGGGCATTTACACAGTATCATTTTACTATTTAGTAATGCGCATAGAATATCTAAATCTAGAGTTTAATCCTATATGTTGATTATTCTCTGAATGTACAACTCAGATGTATTTAGAAGTTTCTATGTAGCAAACTAAAGTTTGATGCCCATTGCAGCGTACTGAATGCTGTTTTACATACATATTTTAACAAAGTAGACTGTATACAGTGTATTCCATTCTGAACATAGTCATAGGCATCCACATTAATGACCTTGCAAGCTACTTACATTGTCCCTTTGCTCAAAGTCGACTGAGCTGGACACAGAGGTGAGACGCTCGTATCGGGAGTCAGCAGGCGTCTGCATGGCGGAGGCCACACTGAACACAAACACACACATTATCAAACACATGCCCTCAAGTGAACTCAGAAGTGTACAGTCACTTAATGGCATGCCGCTTCATTCAGCAGTAATTAGAATAAGGATTGTAGATTGATCTGTATGATCATGTTAAAGGACTAGTTCATCCCAAAAAGCAATACGATCATTCACTAAAAAAAAAAATGTATCCCCTCGGCTACAGATCTCTTTTGTTAAAATCTTCACAAATAAAAATACTTGTCTTGTCACCCAATTCCAGTTTAACATGCAAAGAAAATATAAGAAAACCATGTGTAGTTTACAAAACATTGCTCTTGTTTGTTTGAGCGGTCAACTTGTACTGTGAGTTTGGGACAGGACTATCTGTTTATCATCACAATGGAAGACGGGGATGAGAAAATGTGCTAGGAGACTTTAGGAAATCTGTTTGGAAACATTTGTACAATTTTGTTTGGTGCAGAAATTACACAAATTCACCTTTAAAAAGACACCAATCCATAAGAAACACAATTATATTGATTAGTTCAGGTAAATGTGATGAGTATCTTGAGAAACCCTCAACCAATGGACTCTGGGAAGGAAGTAATAAAAAAAAAGGACAATAGAAAAAAGTAAAAAGAGTTAGAAACAGTACATAGTGAACAAATTCACCCCAAATTCTCCCGATAGGGCACACAGCAGAAGAAATGCCAAAGGGTAAATTCAAAAAGCAGACACAAGTCGTCCTTGAAAGAGAGGAGCTGAAGTTTAAAAACAACACATACTATTCCTGCTCGTCCAGACGTTGATAGTGCTGATTCCGCCTACGGCTGAGGAAAAAGAAATTACTAAAGTTCATGCTTGACAGAAATCTGTCAAAATATGAGATCATTCATTTGGAGGAAGAGCATAATATTACTCAGCTGAGATGCAATGACACTAGTAATTCTTCATTTTCCTTGGCTTAAGCAAGTTATTACATGTAATCAAATCAAACCTTTGATGAATTTTGCATTCTTGGTGTTAGATATCATGTGACACAGTTGTCTTGTTTTATCAAATAAAATAAAAACTTTCTGATTGGACTGCATTTTTCTATAGTTAATGGCACGTATCTTCAGGTTTGTTGACAGCTTTACAGTTCCACATTACTTCACCACAAACTTCACACTTTCAAACTAGTAATGTCAGCTTGACCTGTTTGTAAGCAAGATTAATCTATGACATAAGGAAATGGTTCTACACGTTTTAGGGATGAAAACATGTAAAATGACTTGGGACAAACTCATGTACATGTGATAACAATGGTAGAAGTGCAGTAATTAACTGTTGAATTATTCATTAAAAAAGTAATGCACTGCCAAGTTGTAACAGGCACTTGGCTTCATGATTGGATTTTTCAGGGTTTCACTTTTAAACTTTTATGACATTTGAATAGAGAACTGGGCAGTCATAATGTACGTGTTGTAATTCAGGGAAGTGTTTATGGAACTAAATGTTCAAAACAGATCAATGAATGTTGGATGGGTACACATAAAACTCATCACATTTATTTAAGGGTTGACACCTCCTTAAATAATGCTTAAAAAATGGCTAGATGCCACCCAAGACTTGGTCTTAAAATATAGTGAGTGGATCTGACTCAAGCTAAATCATGGCTTTCGGTTCTACACGTTTTAGGGATGAAAACATGTAAAATGACTTGGGACAAACTTGTGATAACAATGGTAGAAGTGCAGTAATTAACTGTTGAATTATTCATTAAAAAAGTAATGCACTGCCAAGTTGTAACAGGCACTTGGCTTCATGATTGGATTTTTCAGGGTTTCACTTTTAAACTTTTATGACATTTGAATAGAGAACTGGGCAGTCATAATGTACGTGTTGTAATTCAGGGAAGTGTTTATGGAACTAAATGTTCAAAACAGATCAATGAATGTTGGATGGGTACACATAAAACTCATCACATTTATTTAAGGGTTGACACCTCCTTAAATAATGCTTAAAAAATGGCTAGATGCCACCCAAGACTTGGTCTTAAAATATAGTGAGTGGATCTGACTCAAGCTAAATCATGGCTTTTTTTTTTTTTTTAAACCAGCCTGAAACATGGAGCAGATTTCAAATCACGCACTTCCAGGGGTCAACTGTCGATGAAATGATTGTGATTGCAAACGGAATACTTCCTCTAGGTATTACATTGTTGACCTCCTTAGTAAATGAATTACATATCTGTATATATTTAAGGATGGTATCTGTCTCTCTCTATGCTCATTTTCTCATTCCTTCTCTTCTCCCCTGCTGTCTGTGGTATGCTATCCTGAGGATAAACTGAGGCTTGTGGTCATGTGCTTCATTTAATTCTGTGTTTTGACAGAGGGGCCCCGCTCCAGGTAAAACTAACATGCTCACAGATGCCAAGCTCTGGCACGCACACGCTCAATCAAGACTCAGCATCCTGTAGCTCATCCCACCAGAGCCACAGAGAGTGAGTCAGCACTCCTACAGCCACTCACAGGGTCGCTCAAGTAGATCATGACTAAAGTCAGGTTAGTAATGCTGAATGCATCAAGGAGTCAAACGAAGATGTTGTCTTACTTATGACGATTTTGGACCATGGAAATCTTGCTGGTTAGGCTTGTTAAGAAGCCTGGTAAGATACACACACACAACCAGTGAGGTGGACCAGAAAACACAATATAGTCAACCGTTTAGACCAGCGGTTCCCAAACTGGGGTGCGCAGACCGACCAGCAGGGGTGCGCGAGAGAATGCTTTTGATGATCTGTGTGCATTTTTTGATGTGGCAAATGAAAGAGAATTTTACTTGCCCGACCGGACAACTAATCTAATCTAATTAAAACATCGAATTAGGGAAGCACCAAAATTTTGGCGAGAATGATTCTGATTTTATTACACTTGGTGTAAACGGCAATTCATAATGGATAATCAATAGTAACAAGGTCGCGGCAGTTGAGACTCACGTGAGACAATCTCATGGAGAAATCAAAACAAATGAACAACTGCACACAGAAGAAACATACTGTGGTAAAAAATGTAGTTTTTATATTTGTTACATAAAGCCTAGCCTAATTAATTAACATGACATGACTAAGAGAGTGCAGTTTTCCCCGAAAATCAGTACGATTGTAAATTCAACATTTGATTTTAAACAAGACTTCAAACGAGTAGTTAATATTAAGTGACTTAGGGCATACATTTTAGTACAATAATGTCAATGTGACTGTTTTTGCTCGATTTGTTTAACGAAAATAGTTCCAAACAAACTTAGCAGCAGAACTGTCGCGCAGCTCTGAGCAACACACGATGTAAAACACCAAGCTCACCGCATTATTTATGCTGTTGTAATTTTGCAGTTAATGCATTCATGCTACATTTCAGCTTCATTAAATTGTCTGTGTAAATGCATCTAAATGCCACTTCAGCTGCTTCTGTTTCTCCAGCAGTGGAAAATTTGGTTTTGTTAATACTGATGTAATTTGATTGGTAACAGCCCTATAGAGTCTTATTATATTAAGTGAAATTATTAATAAAATGTAAGAATTTTATATGAAAGATGACACGTGCATTTAATAAGTTTATGCCTTATTTAATCAGGAAATTCCCTTTTTATAGGCCAAAAAAAAACCTGGAAATAAATTCAGTGAAAATTCTGAATGGCTAGTAATTTTGGAAAACCACTAGCCACAGTGGCTGGTGAGCAAAATAGTTAATGTCAAGCCCTGTATACAGTGAATACTTGTATTGCAGTAAAAAATGTGGTGTTTAACTGGAGTACGGTGGTGGGGGTGCTTGACATGTGTCAAACACTAGAAAGGGGTGCACGCTGCAAAAAGTTTGGGAACCACTGCCTTAAAACAAGCAATATACCTTTAAACCCAACTATAATGTATTTGCTTCGGATTTACATTTACTATTATTATCATCACTTCAAAAAAAGAAAGAAATATCAGAACAATTTTTAAATGTTCTATTCTAGTCTGTTCAGTTTTGCAAACAAAACTAAAAATATTAATAAATAATAATAAAATAATCTATTAATATTCCATTAAACAAGCACAATATTCAATTCACAATATAAACACTATAAATGAAATATTTGATGATAATCTGATTACAGTGCATAACAGTGAATATAGTATAATATAATATAATACTAAACTTTTAGCTTTAATCTTCTTATATAACTGAAATAGTTTTCTTCTGGTGTTTAGGAATGGTAGTATCTATCTTACGGCCCTCTACTTCTAATTTGTAATGGACCCTGGGAACTGCTGACATGTAAATGTGGTTATGAGTTAATATACTGGGGTTTTGTGATCAGATAATAATTAGGAAGTCTTCATTTCAGTAGTTACAGTATGTTCATAAAGTAAATGCAGAAAGGACTCACTTTATCCTGAAGATGGCGGTTAGCCAGGCACAGAAGCCCTATAACGGAGACAAAGAAAAGAACATCATATTCAATGCACTCTAACTGTTGTCTGTCAGTCACCTCAACATTGAAGGTGATGATATATGGGGCAATGTTGCTTGGGCACTTTCCCATTGAGAATGGGCAACACATTTCTATCTGGATACTTTAGATCGGTTGTGGGCACTGTGTCTCACCTGGTTGCCCGCTGACGGCAATATTGCTCAAGAAGTTGCCCTGTGTATCATCACCTTCAGAGACATTAACAGTCTCTAATGCAGTTTAAGGAGTTGTTAGAGGCAGCGTGGGTGCACGTGACACCAGTTTACATAAGTGCAGTTATTCCAGATCACAGCAGGGAAGGGAGAGGCAAACAAACGGCTGTCAAAAGGCGTGTGTGCTATTATGAAATGCACAGGTGTGTGTGCATTAAGGGGGACAGAGCTATAGTAGATGACAAAAGCGTGCGCTTTTCAGACTGTGTGAACATGAGCGTGAAAGAGTGAATACATGAGAAAGGAAGACAAAGGGTATGTTCAGAATGGCAAACTTTTATAGCACCTTTAATACTTTTGTAGTACGTATGTATACTGTGAACAATATGCAGATTTTCTATATGGACAGAAACCCAGATGATGTAATGCGCTCAAGTTCATCTTCTATTTAGAGAATGATCTCCCTTTCAAATGACTCATGCCAGGGCTTGCACCTCTCGACTTGTGTGCTGCTTTTACTTTCACATAAAGAGCATTGCAGATATAGCCTTAAGGTATGTACACAAGGACGATAATTGTAACAATATCTATAACTATAAAGTTTTAATAACCATTCTAATTCTATGAGAATAGGAAAGTCCACACCATTATATAACTATTATAATAAGCCAGTGTTATTTTAGTATCATTGATATAATATAGTTTTTATTAATATTTTGAATTTTGTAAGTGTGTTATTGTCATTTTATTTATTTTTTTAATGTCTATATAGGTTTTATACATTTTTATTTTAGTTTTAGTTATTTTAGTACTTTAAGTAAAACTAAAAAATGAGAAATTATGCCTTGGCAACTAGCTGAAATAAATGAGCCGTTAACTGAAATAAATAACTTATTTTATGCTTTGGTTTTATAAATAATATCCCTGATTAGGATACTGGATATTGTTAGAATCACTTTCAGAACTAATTTTTCTACAGTAACTGATGAACGATAAAAATATTTACAGTGAACCAGAATCCACTCGGCTTTAAATTGCTTGAAGATTCAAAGTGGCAGATGACATAACTGCAGCATGCACTTATGATAAACAGAATGTTATTGTGTGTTGGTGTGGACACTAATATAGTTATCTTTATACTGTAGTTATAGTTCTTGGTGTGAATGGGCATTTACACAGTATCATTTTACTATTTAGTAATGCGCATAGAATATCTAAATCTAGAGTTTAATCCTATATGTTGATTATTCTCTGAATGTACAACTCAGATGTATTTAGAAGTTTCTATGTAGCAAACTAAAGTTTGATGCCCATTGCAGCGTACTGAATGCTGTTTTACATACATATTTTAACAAAGTAGACTGTATACAGTGTATTCCATTCTGAACATAGTCATAGGCATCCACATTAATGACCTTGCAAGCTACTTACATTGTCCCTTTGCTCAAAGTCGACTGAGCTGGACACAGAGGTGAGACGCTCGTATCGGGAGTCAGCAGGCGTCTGCATGGCGGAGGCCACACTGAACACAAACACACACATTATCAAACACATGCCCTCAAGTGAACTCAGAAGTGTACAGTCACTTAATGGCATGCCGCTTCATTCAGCAGTAATTAGAATAAGGATTGTAGATTGATCTGTATGATCATGTTAAAGGACTAGTTCATCCCAAAAAGCAATACGATCATTCACTAAAAAAAAAATGTATCCCCTCGGCTACAGATCTCTTTTGTTAAAATCTTCACAAATAAAAATACTTGTCTTGTCACGTCAGTAAGGAGAGACACCTGGTGTTATGCACCAGTGGTGTTTTTTTTTTTTAAATGAATTAATACAAATGAGTAAGATTTGAGAACAAATACTTCCAGCAAATAACACACCAGTTTTTTTTTGTAAGTCTCAGTCCACATTTACTACCATGCATGGAAGAAAGAAAAAAAAAATCATGATATATATCTTGTGTGTTCTACAGAAGAAACAACACAAGGCTGAGTAAATGACAAAAGTTTAATTCTGGATGAACTAATCTTTTAATACTTAACAATAACTTTATCTTAGCATCTTCACAGGGTCAATTTGATGCCAGCTTAGTAATAAGTGATGGGCACTGCTAGGCCCTCCAAGCTCAAATTACTCCAGCTACATCAGGCCATATCAGGGCTAACCACATGTCAGGCATGCAGCAATAAGTGACTGTGCAAACAACTCAAACACAGAGTTAGCATTAGCATTTGAGAGGCAATACACACAAACGGTTCACAAAGAGACTGCAGTAAACCTAGAAAGGAGAAGAACATGCAGAGAGAGGAGCATACATTTAGAGTTGATTAGAAACCAGTGTGTTAAACAGAGAAAGACTCATCAAGAACTGGGCAGAGATAAAACTACAATAACTCTACTTGATGATACAGTGGCCTCCAAAAGCCACACTTCATATGAACTTCAGTACATTAGGTAACAAAATATCAACTGCATTTAGCTTAAAAGTGTGGGTGTGCTGTTTAAAAAAAAATAAAAAATTGACAAATGCCATTTAGTTTGACATACATGCATATGCAAGTATGCCTTAAATATTAAAATAGATTTTTGGGGCCAGAATGTGTCATTCTCTGGCTACGATATTCACAAACAATTGGAGTCTACAGGACCACTTCTACAGGGCACTTGGAATAAGTATCAAGCCTATCCATTTGCCAATTGACAAAAACAATCAAACAACTGGACAAATCAAAGGTATCCATCAAAACTAGGTCTTCCAGTTACACAGGGGTTTTCTATGCCACCACAGGATGTTTTACCTCTCCCTGTAAGCCTCTTCCCTGTGGGACATATAGGGTGCTAGGACCCTAGCCAGAAAGTGCACGCTTTAAGGAACGAAAACATATTATTTAATGGTGAAGTGTGTAGTTTTTGCAATGTTACAATAACCCAATTCCAGTTTAACATGCAAAGAAAATATAAGAAAACCATGTGTAGTTTACAAAACATTGCTCTTGTTTGTTTGAGCGGTCAACTTGTACTGTGAGTTTGGGACAGGACTATCTGTTTATCATCACAATGGAAGACGGGGATGAGAAAATGTGCTAGGAGACTTTAGGAAATCTGTTTGGAAACATTTGTACAATTTTGTTTGGTGCAGAAATTACACAAATTCACCTTTAAAAAGACACCAATCCATAAGAAACACAATTATATTGATTAGTTCAGGTAAATGTGATGAGTATCTTGAGAAACCCTCAACCAATGGACTCTGGGAAGGAAGTAATAAAAAAAAAGGACAATAGAAAAAAGTAAAAAGAGTTAGAAACAGTACATAGTGAACAAATTCACCCCAAATTCTCCCGATAGGGCACACAGCAGAAGAAATGCCAAAGGGTAAATTCAAAAAGCAGACACAAGTCGTCCTTGAAAGAGAGGAGCTGAAGTTTAAAAACAACACATACTATTCCTGCTCGTCCAGACGTTGATAGTGCTGATTCCGCCTACGGCTGAGGAAAAAGAAATTACTAAAGTTCATGCTTGACAGAAATCTGTCAAAATATGAGATCATTCATTTGGAGGAAGAGCATAATATTACTCAGCTGAGATGCAATGACACTAGTAATTCTTCATTTTCCTTGGCTTAAGCAAGTTATTACATGTAATCAAATCAAACCTTTGATGAATTTTGCATTCTTGGTGTTAGATATCATGTGACACAGTTGTCTTGTTTTATCAAATAAAATAAAAACTTTCTGATTGGACTGCATTTTTCTATAGTTAATGGCACGTATCTTCAGGTTTGTTGACAGCTTTACAGTTCCACATTACTTCACCACAAACTTCACACTTTCAAACTAGTAATGTCAGCTTGACCTGTTTGTAAGCAAGATTAATCTATGACATAAGGAAACGGTTCTACACGTTTTAGGGATGAAAACATGTAAAATGACTTGGGACAAACTTGTGATAACAATGGTAGAAGTGCAGTAATTAACTGTTGAATTATTCATTAAAAAAGTAATGCACTGCCAAGTTGTAACAGGCACTTGGCTTCATGATTGGATTTTTCAGGGTTTCACTTTTAAACTTTTATGACATTTGAATAGAGAACTGGGCAGTCATAATGTACGTGTTGTAATTCAGGGAAGTGTTTATGGAACTAAATGTTCAAAACAGATCAATGAATGTTGGATGGGTACACATAAAACTCATCACATTTATTTAAGGGTTGAGACCTCCTTAAATAATGCTTAAAAAATGGCTAGATGCCACCCAAGACTTGGTCTTAAAATATAGTGAGTGGATCTGACTCAAGCTAAATCATGGCTTTTTTTTTTTTTAAAAACTAGCCTGAAACATGGAGAGCAGCTTTTGACATCTGCGTAGTAAAAACAGCTTTTGACATCTGTGTAGTGACTGTTGGATCTGACAGGACAAAAAATTATGATTGAGATGCCCGGAATATAATCAGATCTCCCTTAAACATAATCTCTTGTGCACTTACATGCCGGTCAAACCAGTTTCCAGATCGAAGGATGTGAGTCTGATTGAAAGGCAGGGTCATATTACGAATCAAATAAGACTGGCTGAGCTTTTGGAAAGGTAGAAGCTTCAGATCTGTACAACCAATCCATTAGCTAAACCCATTATGCAGCTGCTGAGGTCATGCTGCTGGCTTGCAGCGTTCAATGCAAGAAACACACTGCTGCAGGATGCATTTTCTCTTTTATTTTGCCAAATCAGAGGTCTTGTCCAAATCGTGACTGATGGATTGAGTGTCCAGCTGTAAATATACAGCCTGACGGTTTCACAAAATGTTACTCAGTGCAGGAAAGATGAGTGTTTGTTTGGGGTTATATTGGGGCCAAGAGCATGCTGTGATAATGCAGCCAGCTGAGGCCGCAGTATGAAACGTTGGGAATACCGCCGGAATGGTGCAGTTGTTGATTTTTTTTTTTTTTTAAATAAATTTTTCAATATTATGGTAATGCAAATTAGAATGATTGCACATTGCAGTAATGAGAATAACGACAGAACAGGCCTACGTGTGAAATGGTAAATTAATTTTTGTTTAAAATTGTATATTAAAGAAAGCTGCTATTAATTTTTTACCTGTCAGCATCCGAGACCAATGCAAGACGGCCATAATCAAACGCCACCTTCCTCAAGACAGAGAACACACATAGCAGCACCTGAAGACACAGAACATACACATTACACATTCAATTTCACATCTCATTCCACACATGCATTTAAATGCAAATCCCTGTTCACAACACCACAGATATGTGACAAATAGCACATGCAAATTAAGCACAATTATGAAACACATTCCTACAGTGCTAAAATGTAGAACTGCTGGAAAACAAGAACTTCACAGATTAGTTTTTTTCTGAGACCCAAAATAATCAGAAATATGTGCATTGTGGATCATAAAGCCTATAGAATTTCACAGAAAGCTCTGCTGACGTCCACTGAATTTGATACAGTTTTACGCATCCTCAGCCACTTGTTTATTAACACTTACATTATACATTTAGGAGATGCTTTTATTCAAAGTGACTTCAAATAGATTAGCATAAGCAATTTGTCACAGAACCAGCAATATTCTCAGTATGCCACATTTATAAGATTGCTAGATTGGGAAACAAACTAGAGCAGTGGAGCAATGTAGAGAAGTGAAAGAAAATGATTTTTTTTTTTTGCAAGTGCATTGGTTTAGGGTTGTAGAGTGGTTAAGTGCCGGCAGAAAAGGTGTGCCTTTAATTGCTTCTTGACAGTTGTGATAGTTTTTGCAGTTGGGTGGAGGTTGGCAGCTCATTCAACCAGATGAAGGTTTTGGAAAGCGACATTGTGAAGCCTCTTTGTGAAGGCGCCGCTCATTCAGTGTCTGTTTTCATTTTAAAGTCAACATGGAAACAGCTTTCACAACCCATTTTATTTCTGTAATGTGATGCATTAAAAAAAAAATTAAAAAAAGGACTTTTGGATTGTGAAAAGTGGGTGTTCCATACCAGAATAAACTGTGTTTTCCTTATGGTGTTGGATGTCCTATTAAAAAGTCCATTACCTACAAGAGTAACCTAAACAATGACTTGACTTAACTATTTTACAATGGGTTAACATTCAACAAGAAGCCTGAATCATGCACTAGACCAGGAACAGGTATTAAGAAAGTAAAGATGATAAAGACTGATTGCATGTTGACTTTGAATGACAAACTCATGGCAAATGAACAACAACTGAAAATTGTAAGCTTGTGATGCACACCAAGAAGCACATGAAGTCAAGGGCGAGTACGGTGGGCACTCCTCCGAAGGGCAGGCCCTGGAGCACGGTGCTGCGGATCCGGGCCGAATAGCAAAAGTCCTTGGAGCCATTGGAGTTGGAGCAGTTGTCAGAGCCTGTGCAGACCTCAGCTTCACCGGTCGCAGCCATCATGAGCAAAGCTAAGACAATCAGCATCCTCAGTACTGCTGCATAATGAAACTCCACCTGTTAGGAGACAAGATGTAGAGGGTGATGATGCGTATTTTAAAAGTGCATTTTTAGGGGTATACTAGCATACAGATGACTCAAAGCTCTAATATTGATCACATCATGGGGTCTGTATGTGCAATGGGGAAAAAAATAGCCCACTTTCATTGCATGAGTCTGTTATTTTGTTTATGATCTTTTGCATTTTACAGAAAGAAAGAAAGTTCGGAACAACATGACGGAGAGTAAATGATGACAGTATAGTCTTTTTAAGGTGAACTACTTTAAGAAATGGCATCGACAATTCAGATTTTATATAGAATTACATAGCTGAACTAGCATATTTAAAGATAAAAAAGGCTACATTAAAAGCAAACAACGAATCTGGCTCAAGCTTTCTTCTAAAAAGTAAAGAGAACGATTTTGGAAATAATCAGACAGGAAAGACCAGTCCTGGTAACCTATGAGAGAATGCCACAGCTCAATATCATAAATCAGCCTGGTGTCTAAAAGTGTGACTTAGCAAATTATGTAACTGCACGAAAGCTTGGCTGTGAGTAACTGAAAACATATCTCTACATTAAAACATTCGTGGACCTCTAAGACTGTGCATGCTGTGCTCTGGCATGCTGCTGCTGACTCAACACAGACACATCTATATTGCTCCTACAGTGAGATCAGCCACGCAACTGCTTAACAATGGACAAACAGAGGTCAGTCAGTCAGTTCAAGCTTGACTCTCTGAAGCAAGTTCTTCCTGAGGGAACAGCGTAAAATTCCCAGCCAATACTGTATATTTCAAATATTAAAGAACAGTTCACAGGAATTTATCTTTCATCTGTGAAGCAAAAAAGAAGACATTTTGATGTTTGCAATGGTTTCCCCTTTTTTCCAGTCTAAAAAGCCCCCATAAAAGCCTTATTAAAGTAGTTACTTGAAATAAAATAAAGGTTAACAGAAATTAAATACAGTATAAAAAATAAACTTATTTTAGCTAGCTAAAACAAAAACAAAATACTGAACTAAAGCGTATAAAACTATACAGACATTATAATAGAATAAAAAACAACAAAATAATAATAAATACAAAACATATATATAAAACATTCAAAACCTATAATAGTATGTCAATGGTACTAAAATAATGATGCTTTAAATGTGCAATCAAATTAAGTGGGGTTAATTTGAACTGATTGACACCTCCTTAAATAATGCTTAAAAAATGGCTAGATGCCACCCAAGACTTGGTCTTAAAATATAGTGAGTGGATCTGACTCAAGCTAAATCATGGCTTTTTTTTTTTTTTTAAACTAGCCTGAAACATGGAGAGCAGCTTTTGACATCTGCGTAGTAAAAACAGCTTTTGACATCTGTGTAGTGACTGTTGGATCTGACAGGACAAAAAATTATGATTGAGATGCCCGGAATATAATCAGATCTCCCTTAAACATAATCTCTTGTGCACTTACATGCCGGTCAAACCAGTTTCCAGATCGAAGGATGTGAGTCTGATTGAAAGGCAGGGTCATATTACGAATCAAATAAGACTGGCTGAGCTTTTGGAAAGGTAGAAGCTTCAGATCTGTACAACCAATCCATTAGCTAAACCCATTATGCAGCTGCTGAGGTCATGCTGCTGGCTTGCAGCGTTCAATGCAAGAAACACACTGCTGCAGGATGCATTTTCTCTTTTATTTTGCCAAATCAGAGGTCTTGTCCAAATCGTGACTGATGGATTGAGTGTCCAGCTGTAAATATACAGCCTGACGGTTTCACAAAATGTTACTCAGTGCAGGAAAGATGAGTGTTTGTTTGGGGTTATATTGGGGCCAAGAGCATGCTGTGATAATGCAGCCAGCTGAGGCCGCAGTATGAAACGTTGGGAATACCGCCGGAATGGTGCAGTTGTTGATTTTTTTTTTTTTTTAAATAAATTTTTCAATATTATGGTAATGCAAATTAGAATGATTGCACATTGCAGTAATGAGAATAACGACAGAACAGGCCTACGTGTGAAATGGTAAATTAATTTTTGTTTAAAATTGTATATTAAAGAAAGCTGCTATTAATTTTTTACCTGTCAGCATCCGAGACCAATGCAAGACGGCCATAATCAAACGCCACCTTCCTCAAGACAGAGAACACACATAGCAGCACCTGAAGACACAGAACATACACATTACACATTCAATTTCACATCTCATTCCACACATGCATTTAAATGCAAATCCCTGTTCACAACACCACAGATATGTGACAAATAGCACATGCAAATTAAGCACAATTATGAAACACATTCCTACAGTGCTAAAATGTAGAACTGCTGGAAAACAAGAACTTCACAGATTAGTTTTTTTCTGAGACCCAAAATAATCAGAAATATGTGCATTGTGGATCATAAAGCCTATAGAATTTCACAGAAAGCTCTGCTGACGTCCACTGAATTTGATACAGTTTTACGCATCCTCAGCCACTTGTTTATTAACACTTACATTATACATTTAGGAGATGCTTTTATTCAAAGTGACTTCAAATAGATTAGCATAAGCAATTTGTCACAGAACCAGCAATATTCTCAGTATGCCACATTTATAAGATTGCTAGATTGGGAAACAAACTAGAGCAGTGGAGCAATGTAGAGAAGTGAAAGAAAATGATTTTTTTTTTTTGCAAGTGCATTGGTTTAGGGTTGTAGAGTGGTTAAGTGCCGGCAGAAAAGGTGTGCCTTTAATTGCTTCTTGACAGTTGTGATAGTTTTTGCAGTTGGGTGGAGGTTGGCAGCTCATTCAACCAGATGAAGGTTTTGGAAAGCGACATTGTGAAGCCTCTTTGTGAAGGCGCCGCTCATTCAGTGTCTGTTTTCATTTTAAAGTCAACATGGAAACAGCTTTCACAACCCATTTTATTTCTGTAATGTGATGCATTAAAAAAAAAATTAAAAAAAGGACTTTTGGATTGTGAAAAGTGGGTGTTCCATACCAGAATAAACTGTGTTTTCCTTATGGTGTTGGATGTCCTATTAAAAAGTCCATTACCTACAAGAGTAACCTAAACAATGACTTGACTTAACTATTTTACAATGGGTTAACATTCAACAAGAAGCCTGAATCATGCACTAGACCAGGAACAGGTATTAAGAAAGTAAAGATGATAAAGACTGATTGCATGTTGACTTTGAATGACAAACTCATGGCAAATGAACAACAACTGAAAATTGTAAGCTTGTGATGCACACCAAGAAGCACATGAAGTCAAGGGCGAGTACGGTGGGCACTCCTCCGAAGGGCAGGCCCTGGAGCACGGTGCTGCGGATCCGGGCCGAATAGCAAAAGTCCTTGGAGCCATTGGAGTTGGAGCAGTTGTCAGAGCCTGTGCAGACCTCAGCTTCACCGGTCGCAGCCATCATGAGCAAAGCTAAGACAATCAGCATCCTCAGTACTGCTGCATAATGAAACTCCACCTGTTAGGAGACAAGATGTAGAGGGTGATGATGCGTATTTTAAAAGTGCATTTTTAGGGGTATACTAGCATACAGATGACTCAAAGCTCTAATATTGATCACATCATGGGGTCTGTATGTGCAATGGAGAAAAAAATAGCCTGTTATTTTGTTTATGATCTTTTGCATTTTACAGAAAGAAAGAAAGTTCGGAACAACATGACGGAGAGTAAATGATGACAGTATAGTCTTTTTAAGGTGAACTACTTTAAGAAATGGCATCGACAATTCAGATTTTATATAGAATTACATAGCTGAACTAGCATATTTAAAGATAAAAAAGGCTACATTAAAAGCAAACAACGAATCTGGCTCAAGCTTTCTTCTAAAAAGTAAAGAGAACGATTTTGGAAATAATCAGACAGGAAAGACCAGTCCTGGTAACCTATGAGAGAATGCCACAGCTCAATATCATAAATCAGCCTGGTGTCTAAAAGTGTGACTTAGCAAATTATGTAACTGCACGAAAGCTTGGCTGTGAGTAACTGAAAACATATCTCTACATTAAAACATTCGTGGACCTCTAAGACTGTGCATGCTGTGCTCTGGCATGCTGCTGCTGACTCAACACAGACACATCTATATTGCTCCTACAGTGAGATCAGCCACGCAACTGCTTAACAATGGACAAACAGAGGTCAGTCAGTCAGTTCAAGCTTGACTCTCTGAAGCAAGTTCTTCCTGAGGGAACAGCGTAAAATTCCCAGCCAATACTGTATATTTCAAATATTAAAGAACAGTTCACAGGAATTTATCTTTCATCTGTGAAGCAAAAAAGAAGACATTTTGATGTTTGCAATGGTTTCCCCTTTTTTCCAGTCTAAAAAGCCCCCATAAAAGCCTTATTAAAGTAGTTACTTGAAATAAAATAAAGGTTAACAGAAATTAAATACAGTATAAAAAATAAACTTATTTTAGCTAGCTAAAACAAAAACAAAATACTGAACTAAAGCGTATAAAACTATACAGACATTATAATAGAATAAAAAACAACAAAATAATAATAAATACAAAACATATATATAAAACATTCAAAACCTATAATAGTATGTCAATGGTACTAAAATAATGATGCTTTAAATGTGCAATCAAATTAAGTGGGGTTAATTTGAACTGATGTCTGCATTGCCATGGTTAATGAGGTTTCAAACAAATATTAGAGTTTAATCTGCTTGTCATTTGTAGAACCAAGGTTATGTTAACCGTGACAGCAGGACTCAGACTTTTCCAATGGAAAATAAATACAGCATATAAGGGTGATGGGGGAGAGAAAGTCACATGCAGGGTTTCCTAACAAACCAAGTTCTGTGCCAAACCAGCTGAAGGTGAGGTCAGTCATAAGCATCATCTTTGACATCATTTCACTTCTGATACATCAAGGAAAGAAAGCACCAATTGCTGGTTGCTGAAATACTATATCACCCTGCAAAGAAATTTCCACCGTTCAGGGAATTTTGACAAACGAATAGCGCCAAAGGAACACTTTAGTGCCGCCCACTACCATTAAGGACTGCAAATGACTAGGGGTGTAAATCAGATGGTTTGTCACGATACGATACGGTATCAATTCTCATACCCAGCGATACGATATTTGCCGATACCTCAAAAAATTCTACGATACGATTCGATATAGGAGTATATCGATCGATATATCAATATTATGATAATATACTGTATACCTATTTTAAACAACCATCTACATTTTTATTAACTCACAAATGCAACCAAAATATATAACATGAACATTTATCTGAAATTTTCACATCCTGTACCTCAATTGGGACATTCACAACAAAAAAAATAGTCCTACACTTTTTTTTTTTTTAAATAATAAAGAAAATAAACAATTGGAAAAACAATTCTGGCTGCTATGGGCTCAGTGCTAAAAATCTTTTCTACAGATAACCAAATTACAAGCAACAGCAGAAAATAAATACAATAGAACAAAGACACAAATTCAATAAACAGTGCTTTTCAGGTTTTTCAGCTCGGCCTAAACGAAATTTTTAGGTACGCTACATAAATGTAATAATCAAATGTAAAATAACTGCATAGTCTTCACTGTATAAATTAAATATAGATTAATCATTTTTGATGTTACAAAGGTTATTTAGTCAGGAGCAGTGAGCACTTGTATTTTTCTTTGACAGCATTAGATTTATTATTAGTTTGCTTTCAAGAACGAAACATGCCTTTTCTTTCTCAACTGTTTACGTTAAGACATATGCCTA